AAAAAAGAGGAAAAAATCTATTATTTTTAGGATTGTTGCTGAGTGCTGCGGCTCCATCAAGAGGCCTGTGAATAAGACCGTAAATGCTGATAAACCTGATCAATTATTGCAAGAATTTTTGTTTGCATTAAATACATGCAGGATGCAGAACTAGAAAACAAACGTTGTCACTGCTTTGTTCTCACCATGTAATCAACAATTAAAAAGGATTAAAACTTTAATCTTTAATATTCAATATCTTATTAAATGTATTTGCATGTTGCTTTTCCATGTTATAGGTCTTCTTCTTGGATCAAAATACAGCTTTCCATATCACATGCTGCTTGTAATTTTTTTGGAATCCCAAATTTAATTTAAATGTGTGGAAAAACAGATATGTTGAAAGCTCAGTTTCAGATAGGTAGCCTTGTGGTCTGGCAGCTTGACCTGTTGCTATCTTATTGATCCATCAGTAAACTGAGCTAATAACTTGAAAGACAGACATGGAGCAAAGCAACCCTGATCACCCGGTCATTTAAGAAGCTTTAGGCTCTAGTCTGCAGTTGTCAACTAGTGGAATAATGTTAACTGTGCAACCTTGTCAGACTCCTTTAAAGTTACTGTAGGTTACCTAATACAGGCTGTTGCTAAGATAGTCTCTATGCATGCATGGATGGACAAGCATTGCTGGGAACATGTGATTATGTATTAACTTGTTCCTTATAATCTAAACATCTACCAGATCACTGGCCACCCACCTGAATTGGGGTTGGTTTTTTTTTTAACCACATGCTACTGTAAATCGGCAAAAGATCAGAAACTGGGAGATCCAATTTATTTATTAAAAGCTCTGGGTGTTCCAAACTGGGGAAATTCTGTTAAAACAGGAAGTTTACCAAACCTTTCCTCTTTTTCGATTCCTCAGTGGATCGCCATTGATCTGATGGATGTTAACAGGTAAAGTTTCACTCATATTAATTACATGAGCTTCTTTTGAATTTAAGTTTCGATGTTAGCCTCAAACTTGACTGTAAAGACCTCATTTTTTTCCAGATCGCATGGTGATGTAGAGGACATAATACTAAATCCTACATGTGGGTGTAATAAGTCTGCCGAAGGCACAACTATAAAAATCAATTTCCTCACATAATAGTCTCAATACTCTGCTGTAAAATATGTTATACAGAATCTGCTTTTACTTCTCAGAAGTGTATCGGTAGGTTCAGAGTACTTAAAAAAATGTAATATCCCTTTCCTCAAAAATATGGCAGGGTTCCTCCATACACGAGCTATTTCACTGAGATGCATGTTAAAATGAAACACTTTTTAGGTCATGATTTCTACTTATTAAAAATAAAATGAGCAGAGTTCTACAAAGTTAGGTAAAAATAATAATAATAATAATAATGAGATTCATAATGGAGATAGTTTCCAGCAGTTTGAGTTGTTTTATTCTGTCAAAGTGAAAATCAAATATCCATCAACTTCACCAATCATCTGTGACTCTCCTGGGTTTACGTCTCAATACAACCATCAAAGTCAGCGCGTTCCTCGGATCCATCTTAATGGTACTAATCTGAATCAGGGATTACTGTGCCCCCTTTTGGTTTTGAATAAGCACTGCATGGGCATTACAAGCCTCACAGCACATTCTCAGTGAGCTCACGGCTAAGAGGTGTGATTATTAGACTGATTAGAATGAAGGATGCACTACACTGGTGATCATCAGGAGGAGGAAATGCATTGTTTTTGCATTTGTTTCACTAAGTAGAATCAGGGGCCAAGGGGCTTGTGTTTTGATCAAAGAAACAGCCACCGGTGACATATTATCGGCTGTGATTGTGTCAGTTTGTCACCGCGCTGAATCAGACATGTAGACTATTCATCACAGAAGAAAGCTGCATTTTTTCTCCCTCTCTCAGGTCTCAGCGATAAGAGGTGAATGAAGAAAAATGACGGCGAGATGGAGCTTGTCCACTATCTATCACAAAGCAATAGGGGCCGACCACTGTATGTTGAGCCGTCAAACGCTGCTTCTGCTTTTGCTTCTAGTTTGTTTTATAGAGAGCTGTCAAGCATCATTAATCAAATTGGTTTGACTTTGTGGTTTGTGTCAAAAATTGTTGCTGTGTCCTACAAGCAACAGTGGATCGTGATTTTAAAAAGGCATCAGCTCAAGTAGAAAATTTCAGATATTTGATTGATTTTAATACCGCCGAGCTCCGTTTCAGACGTCTATTTTTCTCCCTCTCGTTTGTATTTATAGCGTTGCTTTTACTGTAAGTCCTTCTTCCCTCAAACGGGGGGGGAGGGGGGGGGGGGGGGACAGCCTGCCTGTTTGGAGTTTACAGGATCAAAGAAGAGGTAAATATCATTTCCATAACATTTGAACCAGTTAACCACCAGCACAATACAGAGAAACACTACTGTAAGCGCCTGACAATGCCAATGAGGCAGGAACTCTGTGATTTGCCGCTCCGCCAAAGAGGAGGGAAGCGAGCGAAAACATGGAGGAGGTGAGAGGTCAACTGCGCTCTCCCTGCATCATTTTCCAAGCAGCCCCTCAAGCACTGGTGATGTTTTAGGCAAGTGTACCTCACTTTGGGGGGAGGCCTGATGGATGCCGTTCCCAAGGTGAATGGAAAGAATAGCATTAAGCTGCACCACACTGCCTGGGGAGAGCTCCACTGCTTTGGGTGATTCATCTATTGATTATTTCTACCAAAGCATGGAGGTGCCATGTAAACACACATATATTAGTAGTCTACAATGCACATGTGCACCCCTTACACACATCCAGACGCAGCGGATCCAGCAAAGCAAGCCTCGGGCCTGCTCACTGTTTTATAATCAGATTCCGACTTTTACCAGCTCGTGGGCATCTTTAAACCACGAGGCAGATACATCAGATGGAGAACTAAATAGAGATGAATGAAGAGATGAAGGAATAAATAAATGATAAATAGCATTACCTCGATTTGTGTGGGCCAGCTATTATGTTATTGATTCCAGCTGGAGTTTTTTAGTTGTACTCACAGCGCAGTATGTGGGCCAAGTCAGATGTTTACACTTATTTTGTGTTGTATAAAAATGGCAGAATTTAAATTTTTCTCAGTGGAGTGCTAAATGCATTCAGGGCGTACAATACATCTTCAACTAAAGCAGAATTCATCAACTTACAGGATTTAATGCAAATGTAAGTGTATTTAAAGATGCTCCAATCAGGGGACATGCGTGCTTTACGAAACTGAACACTTTTTTTTTTTTGAATAACTGAAATCAACTTGATTTATAAAGCACCAATTCACCTCATCAGTTGCCTCAAGCCATTTTATATTGTAAGGCAAAGACCATGAAAAAGAACCCCCAACAATCACACGACAGCCACATAAGCCAGTCCAGGTGACCAGAGCACATCATGCCACTAATTAAAACCCATGTCAGAGCCCGTCTTTGTGAATCCTGGAGCTTTTTGTGTTATTTCTTAGTTTTTAAAACCTGTTTTGTTTATTGGATCTTTTTTTTCTGGCATCAGAGGCATTTTTTCTTTAAAAAAAAAAAGTGGTGAGAAATGCCAGGAAAATTAACAGATTTCTGTCTGATAATTGAAATTCTCTTCTGTTATTAAAACTAGTTTTAGTCCCCACTAGATGTGATGCTGCTGGTGCAGAATAGCTTTCAAAATCCTGATCATACATGATACATTTTGGATTTTTATGAACCTACTCTAACTGCCCATTTTCTCTTTATTAAAAAAAAAATCATTTATTTTTCGTCGTTGCATAATTTTTCCAGTATTTTTTATAACTTTTTTTTATAATTTAAATATATTTTTTTTATAATTCAGGAAGATCTTGGTGGAAAGAGCTGCAGTACAACTGTAAGCAGTTTAGTGGCTTTCATATTGACATCAACATGATCACTGAAATCAAACAAAGACTTTTTTCATTTTTTAATTATGAATTTTGTGTGTTGTGTGAGTGATTAAGAGAGAGATTTTCCTTTGATTTTGAGGTTGTACGGTGGAGTCTTGCCGTGTAGGTTCCTTTGTTGTCCATCAGTGTTCTGTACATGCACTCACTTTTCCTTGTTTGTTCAGGTGTGTTTAACTAAACCGATCCAGAGAGTGATCTTGCATTCATCCCAAAGGCCCCTCATTAATGTGTTTGAACCTGTGTGTGCTCATGTGACTGAAGTGTCCTCCAGGATTTCACTCACCTCGTCTCCAGAGACAATAATCAGTAAAACCTCTTTGCGTCTGTTTCCTCTCTGTCGTTCACCTGTGCTAATAACATCACGGTTGTATGCTTGATCAGAAAGGACATGTAGTATTTTTGTTATACCACGTTATAAATCCAGCTTCGTTGTGTCTGAATAATGACGAATATTAGTGCTCTGGTTGAAATTCAACCTTTCCCTGCTTGGAAAAGGATAATGCCAGAGTTGTCACTTACATTGGATATCATTGCTTTGGGCAGGAGAAAGAGCTTCTCTCCAGCATGTGTTTCTTTTCCTGCAGACTTCTTTTTTTTTGGTAAACGTTAGACATGGCTCTTTCCCTTAGGGGCGGTAATGGCATTCTCCATGACAACGGCAGCGTGACATGGCTGTGCCCTTGAGGGCCAGGCATCTCCTCTGGGAGGAGCGCCGCGGAAACACGACAGGGTCAATGGTCACCTCCCATCATCCACCAGCAACCCATGCTCCTCTCTCTCTCTCTCTCGCTTCTCAGGTGGAGCAAGGAATGTTAGAGAAAGAGAGATAAAGAGAGGGAGACACAGAGAGAGAGAGAGACGAAGAGAAAGAAAGTCTTCAAGTGAGCCCACTCAGTCCAGGCCTGGCAAACAAGAAGCTTTAGCCACAGGCGGTTCTGGCTAGGTCTTGCATAGCTCCTTGCTGTTCCTTTAAGGCCAGGGCTGGATCAATACATATAGTAGTGCAGATTCTTTTGGCACCCAAGTATAGCTATGCAGTATTGCCCCAAGGTATGGGTCCATTAAAGACATAACTGTGTGTGCATGTGAGCAAAGTGGACTGAGTTTATTCAGGAAGGTGCTGAAATGCTTGGCATAAAACCCAGGCTTACACTAAAGATATTCTTTTTTTTTCCCTTTTCTTTTTTCTGGAAATGCAAGAAATTATCTCATCTCTAATAAATATTACATGTATTTCTTACTCACGGCATGTCCCTGAATGGGTATGGATTTTTGAACAGCAATAGCCTACGGGAAAATAACTCTGACACTAAAAAAAACAAAACAAAACAAAAAACCCCAACTGAGTATTAGAATAATGTTCCATATAATTTCAGTTAAATATATAAAATGCTTTTTGTCTATTTTGTCTTTGTAAGCAGCGATTTTATAAAAAAAAAGAAAAAAAAAATCTTAAAAAGAGATGGTGTCAGGCTCGTGCATTTTAAAAGCTAAGCTCTTCTGCCACCTGGTGACTAAAATCCAGACCAGAATATGAGACAGCTCTTTTTTACAGTATTATTGATATCTGGAAGCATACAAACAGGCATTCTGAAAGAGAAAATAAATTTCAAACATGCAGAAAATAAGCCTATAATTGCAATTAAAGACACAAAAAAAGAAGCTCTCGCATAGAGTTGTGTTTGTGTTGGCACATGCTGAATGAAAATGGTTTAAAAAAAACAAACAAACAAACAAAAAAAAACCCCACACAGGACATTTTCCCTCATGTCCTATGAATTTGGCCTTCTTCATAACAGAAAATGTTTATGCTCAACATGTATATAAATCATTTTGTAACAAAAATCAGACATTTGACAGTGAGCACAAACCTTAAAAAGAAAAGAATAAAAACTGATGATGTTCTTAGAAATTATTCAGTCTGGTGTCCACAGTCAGGCCCAACTGTGGACCAGGACTTTCATTCAAACATCTGAGAGGAAGCAGGTCAGGCACCTGTAGAAGAATAAGAGAAATGTTTCTAAGTCACAGGGCCTCTAGCAAGCAGACAGGCAGTGGAAGACAGTCAGACATGTGAATATAATTATTAGTGAGTTCTAAAGTAAGTCATCACAGTAAAGAGACTTAACTAAACTACCAGTCGAGTACAGAACTCACCATACTGATATGTGGACCGAGGTGGTGATGGAAGCAAACCATGTGCACCACTGGAAAGTTGAGGACCTTTACTGCATTGAGATCTCTGGACAGCTATTGCTACTGCCTGAGCAAATCTGGAAGGGGCTGCACTCTTCTTTTCCAGACTGTTCTGTTCAGGCCTAGGTGAAGTAGGCTCGTCTTGAAGGGTCTCCCTGAATACATTAATTTGCCCATTCAGGGCAACTGTAGGGCTTGATATTTGGGAGGACAGCAAAGAGGGGGATGTAGTATCCTCTCTTTCATTCTCCATTATCGCTATGTCTTCATTGAAAAAGACAGGTGGAGGAGGTGGAGGGAAACTGCCCTCCTTCTCCTCTTCTTCTTGCACCACTTCCTCCTCAGCTTTCGTCTCATCGGCGCACGTGTCTGCGCTGGAATTATCGACAAATTCCTTCTGAGGTTCTGAGTGGATGTGATCTTCAGTATGAACCTCTCCATAACTGCACCCTGAAATCACCTCTGATGAGACCTCATAGCCCACCTCTTCCCTCTCCTTTTCAGAGGTGTCCCTAGCCTCCGACAGAGGTGGACTGGGTAAGTTCTGATCAGTTAAATCATGCAAAAGTGGAGGAGAAGCCAGGTTGTCAGGAAGCTGAATCTGCTGAGAGGAGGTATCCGGACTGGGTGCAGGGTCTTCACTCCCCGATGTGTCTGGTGAATATCGTTTCTCATCAGTATCTACTTGATTATTCCCAACCTCATGAGACGTTTTGCTCTCTGGGGTATCTTTAGGTGATATACAGCACTGGTCTGGAAGATCTCCGGTAAGATCTTGTGTTTTCTTCAGAGGGATAACTTTAAATGTGGTCATCCCCCTCTTCTCAGCTGGATACTCCCATTCACTCTCAGTTGGAAGGTTAGATTTGAAAGCGGATTCAACATCTGTGCAGAAAACTTCACTATTTGGACACCTTGGGGTCATGGGGGTAAAGGAGGAGCCATTTTGAAATTTGGGGAAAGTGGCAGAGTTCTTCAAACGTCTGACCAGTGTTTCTCTAGAAACAGAAGACATCAGGACTTTGGCAAGGTTGCAGCGGGCGCTGGAGAAGTCTTTGCCTCGTAACATAGGCAGATAGGGATCAGCCACTTCGTGGAGATGAGCCAGTGATTGCTGTAAGGAGGATGATCCTGACTTTGGCTGTAAAGGGCGTGCCAGTGAAGATGGTGATCTGTTTACACACTCTGACTCATCACTTTCTTTTAGTTCCTCCGGAGTGTTCAGGGACTTGACAGTTTCTAAAGAAACAGGAAAGACTTAGCAACAGTTTTCATCTTAATTATTCATTTTTAAAAGGTCTTGGACCCAAAAATCTGTGTGCAGATACTTCTAAATGATTAAAAACCCTTACTTTTTTGTACACACATAGGAATAACTTTAAATGAAGAAATTGACTATAAATGGTTAATATTGTGGCACTCAACAGTTGGTATCAGTTCAGGAGAATAATGGTCTTTATCTGGAAGCAGATAAAGCAAGGACTGAGCAAACCAAACAAGAAGGCCTTTGGTAAACTCCAAGCGTTGTCTGAACATCCTTAGAAGAACCTAAAGATGGAGCTTCAAGGATGCTTTCCATCCTTGATTTGAATAACCTCGTCAAAGTCTTGTAGAAACTTACCTAAGAGGAGACCGAATTAAAGATCTAAATAATCTCATAGAGTAAAGATTTCAATTCTTGAGTTCTTCAGTTTTGCATTTAGGCTTTTTCAATGTAGATTGATGGGGAAAGAATGCTACATTATTAATTTGTGTGCAGAAAGTAAAGAGGATTTAAATTATTTCTGAGGCAACGGTATATCATTAAGATGTAGGCTTACATAGTATACAGAAATATACATTAAAATATTGATATGATTATCAATCATTTTAATAATAAAATAATCTAGAAAAGTGTGCACATAAAACTGTTACATTTATCTTAAGATGTATTGTCTAAATGAGTAAGCAGAAGAATAAACTTCAAGGACTCGAACATTATACTTTAAAACACATAACTATATTATTTAGCAAAGAAAGAACTAAACATGCAAGATTTTAAAAAGTCACTTTGGAATCAACAGAATTAATAATTCATTTTAACCAAATGCTCTTCTTGGTGGCTTCTTTATCATTTAAAAGGCACAATAACTAACTCTAGTCTAACCCATTAATAGGAAATCACACACAAATTAGAAAAAGCAAAGTACAGAATTATCAGAGAAATATGGATCAGTAGTATAAGCAGACAGCTGAACAGCACAAATGGACAGCTTATAAATGTAGAAGGCGTGAATACAGTGCCCGCCATAATCTTTGGGACAAAAAACACAACTTGTTGTTTTTCCTTTGTGCTGTGCACCATCACAGTGGATTGTAAGGTGTAGATATGACAAATGAGGTAAACATAACATCTGAAGCTGAAGCTTAAGTTTTGAATGTGTAATTTATAGATTTTCACTGTAATTTTAATCTCATTTTAAATATGAGATGTGAGGAAGACTGTCATTAGGATAAAAAAAAAAAATCTAAATAAACCTATCAGAGAAAAAGCAGAAACTCTACAAGTGGCTAAATCAATATTCTGGTGTTAAAAAGAATAAATGCACTGACTAGTTCAAAGGAAAACTAAAGTACGCAACAACAATAACCCAAAGCAACCCAAGAGTTCCTAAAAGTAAAGGCAAATCTTTCAATGGCCAAGTCAGTCACCTGATCTGAACCCAAAACAGCATTCCTTTCCATGATTAAATATCAAACTCAATACGGCAGCAACTGAAGGTGGCTGCAGTGAAGGTCTTTATATCTCAATTTATGTTAGATTCTCCCATTAGCTAACATTAACCTCTGAAAATGTCCAATTCTTTTTATAAAACCAACATTTGTGTCTTTGTCTCAAATGTTATAGAGGGCACTGTGTGTCCATATAAGCCACCAAAAAGATCTACAAAAGCCACTAAGACGGGAAGGAGGAAGAAGAGGCCAACGCAGGAAGAAGATGGAGAGGAGCAATAGGGTGATGGAAGGAGGAGAGCAAAAAGTGACAGGGGTGGTGGCAGCAGCAGCACCAGCAGCAGCAGCAGCAGCCCTCAATTACCTCCTTGGGATGGCACAGAGTCTGTAAGCAGGGAGGAGACAAAGCTTCAGTCTAATAGCTTCCTAACTAACATCCAAGATGTTTAGAACCACCTCATACTGAAGAGACTCCGTTAAATGTTCTGCCACGGATGCAAAAATCCTGTTATGTTAAAGATCAGATTGTAGGGGATCATGTTTACGCAAGCGTAGGAGATCAGGAGTGTGTTTAATGTCCATCTACCTTTGGCTGGGAGTTGTTTTTTCAGCATCACATTGACACTAGCTCAGCAGTGTGGCATGTGTTGTGGTTTAAAGAAAACGAAGGAGTGAACCAAGACAATGAGGCTGCTGTTCACAATTACACTGTTATTTAGATCACCGAAAGAAAGCTTTTTTAAAAAAGTGATCAATTTACTTATTCTCACTTAGTTATTATTAGCAGTTTTTAACTAAAAATGAAATCAAGAGCCAAATCTGTAGCAGATCATTAAAAAGAAAGCATGTCCACAGAGAACCTGGACCCAGGCAGGAGACACATTTCAGACAGTAATACAGGGGAATAAAAGCTTGAAGCTGAGGACAGACTGGAGCCAATATGTCTTATGAACAAGGCCCTGGGTCATTTCACACAGGGTTCAACTGTATGGACCGATAAATGCTATGTTTTTTTTGTCAGATTTAACTGCCAAATCTCCCATTTGAAGGCATTTTCTTTGATAATTTTCATCTTAATTTCATTTCTTTCTTGAACCCCTCTGAGGTTTTGAGGATTCATCTCTGTTTAAACACATTTGATTTCCAATTTGACAGCATTTCAGTAAAAATGACCTTTTACTGAAATACTGCAAAAGGGCAATTTTACAGGGATAGTTTACTTGTTTACTTGCAGACAGTCACCACTAGGTAGCAACATAAACAGCTTGCCCTATAAGAGATGAAGCAATGAGACTGACAATAATTTGTCAGTTTAAAGTGAAAGACTGGCTCCATTATCTCAATTAATGCCTGGAATCTTTTTTTTTTTTTTTTCCCCTCACAGCGCCACCATTTTGCATTCATGATTTTACCTTTAGTATCTGTCAGCAGCTCCTGGAGTGTGTTTGCACAGGGAGGTGGTGGGGCCCTCCTCTTGGTACTTCTTAAGGTAGATCCTTCAGAGCTCTACAGAGACACAATGGTATCATTGGCATATGTCCCAAGTATTTCCATTTATATAGTGGTTCCTTTATTCTTTCACAGTTTGACCAGTGTTCTCATTTTTACAAAAAGATTTTTCAGGATGTTCTGGTCGTGTTCCATTTTCATCCCTGCCACCAACTAACCTGTGCTCCTCCTAAATTGCAGGTGCTGAAGTTACTGACACTCTGAGAAACAGCAACTGGTGGCGGGGGGGCTTGCCTCTTCTTGGGCTTTTCTATAGGCAAGGTGTTGGAAGATGAAATGCTCTCCGAATTCATACGGAGTACCGCTTGTTTCCTGGGTCCTGGAGAAGCAGGAGCACTTACTGCGCCCTGCTACACGTGAAATGTAAATGCTGGTCATCAGTAAAAGTTGATCAATAAAGAATAAAGCAAACATCGTTGTCCTCACAGACTGACAATATACCATTTCGTGTTTCTTCTTCCTTCTTCTAAATAAGCTGAAGAATCCTTTCTTTTCCTTCCATTTCTTCTCCTTTTTTGGCAGGTCTAGGGAATGAAAAGGATCTGATTGGTAAGTGATATACAGTATAAACCCTGAATGGCGAGCCACTATATGAAATTGTTTGGGTTGGTTACCTTGCAGTGGAAGTGAGATGACTTCTGCTGGTGTGACAGTTGTTACAGACAGAAAACAAAGTTGCCAAAACAGATGAATTAGGTTAATATTTACACAGGAGCAGGTGTATTGCAGGAATAAAAGATATGTGACTACGACTACTAAGACAGCAAGGTTTTGTGAGACATGGCATCATGGGAAGATGTTTTTTTAAGAAATAAACAACTTATCTATGGATCCCATAACATATACAACATGTTGCATTTGGCTTCTTCTTCCAAAGGTTACAGTGCAAATTGATGGTACTGAATTACTCACTAAATACTTTATTAGGAACACCACATTACTGCAGGGTCAGGCCAACTCTTTTGGTTCCAAACAGGCTCAGCTCTTGCCATCATGGATGCCACATGATGTTAGACAAACTTGCTTGTTGCTGATGACTGCACGTCATATCTCTGAGACAGTCAGGTGCACGTGGTCATGAAGCTTAACTACTGAATTCATATCAAGTGATCATGTTCATAAAACCAGTTTGATGGCTCTTGCTTTGTGCCATGTTGCATTTCCCAAACAGCAACCTTGGACTGTTGACACAAGCGGCTTGGCTCCAGGGATTTGTGCTGCTGACACCCAGTTATGAGCCACCATCTGCAGCCCTCAACAGAAAAGGCCAAAGCCATGTTTTTCCAGTTTTTAATTGTTCCATTTTGTTTAGACTTTGTTTACTGCAGACTTAGAGGTTTGTGCTTCACAGGAGTGAAACCTGGAATGGACTCGTCCTGTTTAGACTGTTTGCTGAATCTGGCTTCTGTCATCAAACAGTTTCCGTCTGCTTCATGTTTTTTGCTTCTAAGCATTTCCCATACACTCATGGGAAAAAAATCCACAGAAAGCAGCAGTGTTAATCTCCAGTGTTAAATTAACACTAGAGAGTGTCTATATGGGTCCACACCTCTGAGTGTTAAATACAACACTGTTGAGTGTTAAATTAACACCTTTGACAGTGTTATATGTTTAAAAGTAACCTAGTCAGGTTTGAAGATTAACAATGGCTAACACTGAGCAGTGCTGATTTTCTAACACTGGAATATTTCTAACATTTTGAGTTATTTTCCAGTGTTAGAAAATCAGCACTGCTCAGTGTTAGTCTTTGTTAATCTTCAAAACTGACTAGGTTACTTTTAAACATATAACACTGTCAAAGGTGTTAATTTAACACTCAGAGGAGTGGACCCATATAGACACTCTCTAGTGTTAATTTAACACTGGAGATTTTGCTGTGTACTTAAGGCAGAACAAACAGTGATACCATACTCAAAGTAATTGACATCTAATTTCCCCCAACTTTAAGCCTTTAACTATTTATGTTAACATAAACAAAAGTTTCTGATGTGTACCTGCTGTGTTTATGCTGTACAGCTTTAACATTATTACCCAACAGGGGGACAATAGAAATGAGGTTTTCCCAACAAAATAAAATACACAAGCCAGTGTGACATTACCTGAATTAAATCGTGGTAAAAAACATCACAGGTCTTTTAAATATTTAGAGGGACATAAGATCACAGGACTGCTGACTAGCAGCTTTCACATCCTTCATACCTGTTTCTGCTGTCTTGGGCTGATGATGGTCAGTGAGGTCTTTACCCCCTGTGTCTTTGGCAAACACTTCCCTGAGTCCGTGGTCATTTAAGCTCTTAGTCAGGTCCAGCAGCTCTTTGGACTGAGAGTCTTTCAGTAATATGGTTGTTTCTACTTTAAACTCACACTTGTCACACACCAACGGCAGCAGCATCTGCAGCGGCAGTTTGGGATCGACTCGCACCACAGTCTTATGGGATTTATTGTAGTTGATCAACAGACGTATTGTTGCCTGCAATGAGAAACAACCGTTAACATATACTCATTGTGATGAAGCGCGATGAAGCAACGGTTTACTTTACAACTTTCCCCCTCCTTTTTTACCTCAGGCACGTATGGCCCCTTGAGCTTTTCCTCCATCCCTTTGGGCTTCAGCACAATCTTCTCAGCTTCTACCGAGCCAATAGTAGAGTTTGGTTTGAAACTTATGTTGCTCTTGTTGGGAGATAGAATATCAACAGTATAGTCTGAAGGATTCAGATGGTTACTTGCACAGAAAGTCACTATAAAGTCCATCAGTGGTTTACTGTGAAGATGAGAATTTAAGGATTATCTTAACATGTTTTGCACTTTGTGAAAATCATTGCTGTTGCAGCAGTTATTTATTTTTTTAAACTGTGATATGACCCACCTTCCATGCACTGTGACACTCTTCTCCAGCCCACCTGGCAGAACCACGCACAGCAAATGGTCTCTTTGCAGTGGACCCACCTCCTCGCTCATCTCTGTGAACCTCAGAGGAAGTCACGGGGACGCACAAGATCTGAAGTTGTTCCCAGTGTCAGACAAATGACCTGTAAGCCATTTACATTCCTAAATATGATTAAAACATGACCTCCCACAAACTAACAGAAACCAAATGGCCACCATACTTCACTATTTGGCAACAGCTAATTATCATCTTTAAATTATTCTTGCATTTTATGAATTTATGACTTATCAATAAAGGGTCTTTACTGTTTGTTATTCAGTTTACTGACTGCCAGCGACATACTGGGAAATAAGTTTATCTTGTATGGTGACCTACGTTTATGAGTCAGTCCATGAAAAATTAACACTGTCTCTATTGTGACAGTGTTCATTTCCTGGTTGTATAGTATTTAGACTGTCATGTGGTTATTTCCTGTAACCCACTACTATGGACTTAAAGGGCCTGTAGATTGGACATTTTTCCATAGTATCACATTTACATGGCTCCATTATGTATACTAAAGTTGAAACCCCAGCTGTTTCTGAGGATGTCAGGTGGAACACTTTCTCAGATTCAACTGACCTCATATGGAATTACTCTATTGTCACATTTACTTTGTAGTATTTATACATCCAGTCACATGAACTTGTAAGACTGAAATTGCTCATTCAAAGGTGAAGAACTGAAAAAAAACGTTTGTGTGTTTGAGTTCCCCCCCCCGCCATTCTTAGAATTACAAGGTAAAGAAACAGGAAACATGAAAGCAATGATAAAGCGCTCTATTGGCCCACATACGAACCCCTTAAGTGAAATATGACAAAAAATAAATAAAAAGGAGAGAGCCTGAAATCTAAATTGCGATTACTGCCGTGATTCCGTTTTCCCACGTCTCAACCTCCGCCATGAACTGAAGGTTGCCTATCTGGGTACATGTGAGGACACCTCACCTCCTTCATGGGATTCCATTACGCTCTGTCCTCACCTTTGACCTTGTGTTGTTCTCTGCCATTGCTTAGACGCAGTCCCTCAAATAGCTCGATTAAAAGCCAACGCCCCGATGTGTGTTTGAAAAAGAGCTGCTCAGCGGAGCGTGCTACAAAACAGCTGCATGTCTCCGCTCATCAACACGCGCGTGTCACAGGCCGCTGACGCGCGCGCACAGACGCTGGTACACTGAACAGCCAAACTAAACCTGTAGTCCTTTACTACACCCGAACAAAGGGATACCGATATACACACCGGACACCTGAATTATCAGTAACAATTAGAACGCTATTTTTTATTTGCATTTTAAGCAGTTAGCCTAGTTATCTCGTTAAATTTAAACTATCTAAAGGAACAATTTATTCCACTATTAGCCTTCACCGAATAACCAACAGTTAAAAACTCGGTAGAAACTTATCCTACATGCACAACAAATTTGTGTGAATAAATACACAGTACATGATCCGCTCAGCCTGTCTGTCTTCAGCCATGTCGTTCAGGCAGTAATGCTGAGCACCAAATAAGCTTAGGCTACTCTGTTTCTTGAGTAAGAAGGATTAGTGCTTTTAAAAGGCTGCATCTCTACCCGCAGTCACATTCAAAGACACAGGAATGATTCATTGTATATGCACTCATAACACTATTACACTCACCTGTGTCCAGACATTGGTCCCATTCTCTTTCAGGTTTCTCCTCTGTATTGTTAAGTGATGGGAGGAGAGAAGGAGAGGGGCAGGGGAATTCTCTCACTCTGTAAGCCAGCCACACCCACAGGCCCTGCCCAGTCATGTGATGGCACTTTGCATGTTTGTTTATGTGCATGGCTACTGTGTGTATGCTTTGTGGGTGTTGGTGTTGAGGAGGACAAGGAGGATTGATATCTGCATCTGCATGTGTGATAACCTGGTGAACCATTCTGCAACTTTAAACTCTGCCCCATCAGTGCTGAAAGACTTTGCCACTCATTTTGTAAAAAAAAAACCCTCTAATCCATATAAGCTACTGATCCTCTCTATTGAGTCGGGCTAAATTATGACATCTCAGCAAGAGCCCATCATATTGTATAGCATGCAGGAACCAGTGCTGTTCTGTATACATGCAAATAAACTTTTACCCATTGCACAGAATACATGAAACAAACTTAAGCTACAGTGGTGATTCAGCTATCATCAGTGTTGTACTGGTCTTTCACAGTGTTTTGCACCATTAGAAAATTGCATTTTCTTGCTGGTACTTAGTCCACTACATTATATAACTGTGCTATAAATTGAGTCAAGCTGGGTCAATACCCTCAGGGCTAATGTCTTCTGGGTAATGTAGTAAATCTCTTGTTGAGTAGCTGTAGGAGCGTTGAACAAGGAATGTAAGCTAAAAAATAACACAAGGAACACTTTAAGCAGTTGTTACCATCCTTTGGTGGGTGACAGGGCAGGATCTCCCAAGAATTAAAATTGACCCATTCTTGTGCTCCTATGCCAGTTCAATAATTTCTTAACACCTGTGCTGTTTACCTTGCAAATGGATTTGGCTCAGATTCAATTAAAATATTGTATAGTTTTTTTGTTAACTAAACAAGGTTTATAAACACTTAAACCTAACCCTAGAGATTGTGAACACTGGACCCTGGAAACTTAGTCTGTGTGTAGAGCTTTTAAGCAAGTGTTAGCATTCTGAAGCTGAATTTAAAAGGCAAATGGTCAAACTTTTATCAGGTAAAAACTGTTAAAATGCTGGCACGTTATTACTGAGCCGAGATGGAAACTATTTCAAGCAAGTCTGTCTGCCTAGAAAGTTTTTATAATATATAGTAAGTACTTGTGTCTTTGTCTGTTTATGGTCTACGCATGATTGCAATACTTTTGGACATAGTTGTTGTCTCAGTCTACCAAAAATAAGCTTGCATACCTACCATCAAATCTCTGTTACAGTCACAGTTTTGTATTTTTTTTTCTTTTTAAATGGGGTTAGGGTTAGCTATAAACCATCGCTTTAACTTACGGAAGGATTCTTGGATTTTCTTTTTTCTAAATAATATTTGATTAGTCAAGCCTTCCTTACAGAGGATGTTTATAAGACAATAATGAATAACTGAAACTCAAGCCAGGCTCCTGCATCATCCCACAGAGCCCTTTATTCATCTTTATACAGTAGGTGAGCAGGAACAGACTGTTAAGTGGGAGTTTTAATCAAATTAAGAACAGGGAACACATGTCCACACCGACTGTAATCTTGTAATCTCATCACCAGTCTGTCAGTGGAGACTCAGTGGGCTACAGGAGCTGACTGCAGTAAACAGATCACCATGTGACTGTCTAGGTTAATGACTAACAGATGAATAGAAAGAATGTTTAATCACGTCACTCTGTTTCATCTTTTAGCATGTTGTGAAATGGAAGAAGGCCATGTCATGTGTACATATGCACTTTGCCTCAAAGCTTTAGCTCCACTGTGAGATAAACAGGTAGAAGGTGTCACATTGTTTCCATCTTGTTGCCTTACACTAAATGCTTTCACTTCATGTTCATGTCAGCAGATCTGTTAACCCTGGTATAGTTATGTGTAAGAAAAAAGGTGATGATGCAGACAACAATATGTTATCCTCTATTTGTTGGTAGGCTTATGTAAATGATATTCTTGCATAAATTTATGTAAACCTGGGAAGCCTTTAATCAAGCAGTGTAAATGATGTGTGCTATTCAGTCTGTATTCTCTATTCATCTTGAAAACACACTGTGTGGGCACACAAAAAAGTGTTTTTGTTTTCCTGTTAGACTTTTCCCAAATGTCCAACAGGAAGACAAGCAAAGAGAGAGGGCTAATTTGGAGCTTTACACAAAGCGACAAAGCCAAATGGGATCCTGTCCTTTGAACAAAGTGACAGGCTACAACCTAATTATGACAACCCACAGTCTGAACAAGGTTCCCAAATTCCTCACTGTGCCACTAATGAAACACGGCACAGTCGCAGAGAGCTGCCAAGGAGGACATATTTGAACCCAACTTTGGAAACATTGTTTGGCGCTTCTTATGTGTCCCTGCAGTATTTTAGATTATTTATTCAATTCAATGCTTTGAAAGCTTAACTTTTTTAAACAATCTTCTCTAATCTCATTATCTCAGTTAAGATTGTTTGCATGACTTGTCTTGATTACATCACTGACTGTCAGTGGAGTTTTATTCAAAGGCTTGTGCCATGTAGCAGCAATATTCAATGACCCTACAATCACTCTGGTACTTTGGTATACACAGGATTTCAAGGTGAATTCAATGGCAACAAGGATCTGAGGTCCTGTGCCTGCAAAAGAAGCCCAAACCGTCACCCCTCCAACATCATGTTTGAGAGCTGATGTGAGGTGTTAATGATGTTATGCTCTCTGTTTAGTTTTAACCAACCATGGTGCTGTGCATTGTTACCACACATCTCTACTTTGGTTTCATCTGTTCAAAGGACATTACCCCCAAAGTCTTGTGCTTTGTTCAGCTGCAACTTTATAATCATAAGCTGTGCTACAATGTTCCAAGGCCTTTTCCTTGCAACATTTATGCAGTCTGTGGGCTGTAGAGTCTGAGCATTGCACAGTTTGATCTTGAATGTCTTGCACTTGTGAAAAATGTTTCTAACCATAGAACGATGGAATTCGAATTGTTTTGAAATACATTTCACTTCCCAGAAACATTAAGTTATAAATATACTAGCTTGCCAGCAATATCAAAAACCACAACTTCCCAGATCTGTTTTCTCATGCAAATATATTTTCATCTGAATGGGAATGGCTTCAAAATGGTACATGTTTTTTTGACTGCTCTCATTTTGATGTGTAAAACCTGACCTCGTCAGTGAGGGTTGGATCTGACTGTAGCCTGTATGCTCATGTGGTAGTGGCTAGCCTGCCCTGAAACCATACTGTGCTTTGTACTCCTTTGCCCTTTGTACTCATTTTTCACAAATTGTTATTTGTCTGTACTTATAAATATGCATAAACTCTGTTGAATCTAACATTATTCTAGTTCTGTTATGAAATGTTATGAGCTTGTTTATTTACATTTGCATTTACATTGCATATTAGCTATTTTGCAGCTGAGCTATAAATATTTCAAGTCGTGCTGGTTTGACTCAGCGGCATTCTGTCAGGACAAGCAAGGCAAGCAGTGCTTGCCTGGTCAAATCTAAAAATTAATGTTGATTAAAACTTACCAAAGAGAAATCTATCTTTTATCTCAACCAGCATTGTGACATAAAGCCTGTTTTCACCAATGTTGCTGCTGTCTTATGCTCACAACTGACTGTTGTTGCTGTAATTGATTTGCTACAATAACAGCAACATTTATGTCCCTTTCCGTTAACAATGGCCGGAGCTTGTCAAGCTGAGAGGCCAGCAACGTGTCCTTGTTGTCTGCGCCTGCACATTGTGGATAAACCTCCAGTCTTTGACAAGGAAAGTGACAGGATACCAGCATGTGAGGCAAGCTGCTGCTGGTTCTGTTTTCTTTGCTCTGAGATGATTTATTAACTGTACTTGGGGCTAGCTTTACTAAGGTGTTCCTCCATTGTACTGACAGTATTTACACATAGAGCACAGCAGAAAGATTGCACGTAAGAGATCGCAACTCAGAGAATTTTGTGATTCTGTTGAAAATTTCTGGGAGTTTGTTCCTCAAGGCACAAAATATAGGGAGAAGAATATTTACATCAAGTGTGCAAACCGATTTAACAACATCTGCGATCTCTGTATCAGATTGGCAACCTGTCCAGGGTGTACCCTGCCCCTCTCCCTGTGGTAGCTGGTTAAGGCTCCAGCCCCTGCCCCGGCGACCCTGATAAGGATAAGTGGAAGAGGATGGATGGATAGTCTACTCTTAATTTTATTAACAGAAAACAAACGTGACATTACAAATACAATAAATTTCCACATACTAAAAAGCAACTTAACCTGATTGTTAAAATGTGTTTAGAGCAGCCGTTAACTGTGTTCTCATTGTGAAGTGAAACTCCCTGCATGCTACACTGAGCTCAAAGGTGTGTCCACTTCTGCTCATAGTGACTGTGAGGAGTGACTCTTTTTCATTTCCCAAATGGAGTCCACCTGTCTGTTCACTCAGCTATGATTATGCAACTTTCATGCCACCTAAAACTTAATTATAATGGTGGCTGTATTTCCTGTTGTGAAGGTGACAGCTTACTCCATACTGTGATTACGCTCGTTTCACAAGGGCTCCATTTTATTCCAACAACAGAGGAGAGCAAACTTTCCATAATATAGGCGTTACATAATCGAACTTCAATGTAATTACACAGTCTGTCCACCAGGTGTCATAAATCTACAAGAAAAACACACAGGGGTGTACAGGTCTGCACGTGAGCACGCACATGTCTGAAAAACCTAATCTCCGCTCCGTCTTCACCAAATTATCAGCAATCTATAAATATTTACCTTTTATATAGCGAGACAACAACCTGAACGTGAGCAAAACCTGCGCATTACAAGCAGTAAAAGCACATTTTAACTAATGTGGATAATAGAATTGAAGCCAAATTAAAAACGTGTAACCACTGCCGAAAAAGATAGAAACAAAGTCACAGAGCATTTGTTATGTTTTATTTTTTTTTGCAGCCAAATAACTGTAATATGTCGATATAGCTTTATGAAAAATAACAATCCAAAAGACCCATACTTTAAAAAAACGGGAAAATTAAAATAGTACGAACTTAAATATAAAGCGTTGCTTTTACATTCTGAATCTCTATTTCAAATTCTTAACGTTTGTGGATGACAACAGGTTGCTGGCTCTCTCTTTCACTTGTATTTTCTAGAAGTGTACGCTCAGGCCATCTTGCGGCAGTCACAGCTTTGAGTACATCCATTCCCAGTCTGTGATGTCTAACCAACCGGAAGCGCGGATTGATTCCTCCATGGCCAACAAGGGCGGATAGAAAAAAGGGAGAAATCAGACGAGTCCTTATTAAATAATAAGCTATTAAGCATCGACCGGAATTTGTCAATAGGAAGAGGAAAGCGTTCAAATCTTAAACTGAGTGATTCTCCGCTGGAAGAAGGGATTATTCTGAGGAATATGGGATCTACCTTCAGGGTCCTTACCTGCTGGGCACCGTAATGGTGGTGAGTGTTCACATCTTTTGAGAAGGGTCCCCCATCATTTTAGATGTTTCTTGTCCGAGGCAATAAGACTTTTCTGAACTCTTGTGTTGAGCAGTCTGTGGCATCAACATTAATGTTTTATATTCCAGTTTTGATATTCCTCCACTAATTGCCCGGGTGATAGATAGATATTAAAAGCCCGTGTTGCTGATATATATATATATATATATATATATATAATATATATATATATATATATATGTGTGTGTGTGTGTGTGTGTGTGTGTGTGTGTGTGTGTGTGTACATATATTCCCCTTCTTCAAGATTGTTTTAATTACGCAGACATGCAGTCTTCACCAAATATACTATTTATATTTGTCTTGAGCTTAAGTTGTGTATTTTACTTCCATTTCCAAACAAATGTTGAAAGAAAAATGAATAACACATGACAGATAACCTTCACGTCGTGACAAACACGGGCTTCAAATATTTGCATCCTCACCGACGTGCTGGGAGGGACTAGCCCTCTTATTTACAGGCCCCTTCAGTGTGAAAATGTTGCTTACTCCTGACAGGAGTGACGCAAAGGGGTGACTGCATTTAAAGAGGTTTCATTGAGGTAAGCCAACAACTGAGGTGTCAACCGACAATAACGCCGACGTATTTATTTTTGGTACACCAGAAACTGTCAGTGTCAGGGATTGATTACAAGGAGCAGACACACATCTGCCAAGGACACGCCCAGACTCATTCAGTGGATAATTGTGGATGTGAAAAGGAGCGAGCAAGAGATAAAAATATCTGATTAACGACTTTAAGTGATACCTGTTTGGCTTCGACCCTCAGGTGGGCCCCGGACTTTACCTGTAGGGGTGTTGGTCGGGTGGCAGGAACAATTATACACGTCAACCTCGGTCGGTCGCTTACCGTATCTGTGTGTGTTAAGATTTATTTATTTATTTATTCATTTATTTTCCCGGCTCCTGGGAATTGTACTGCTGGTGGCGTATCTGGAGGGAGTGAGGACATAATGGCCGCGGCTCACTCGAAATATAAAACTCAAAGTGTCGTTTTTTTCCGGAGAGCTAGAGGTTATCATCAATATGGCGACGACTGCCGCGGCCCCCTCTTCTCGTTTTGAAACAATTAAGGTACTGCCTGACACACGCCGTCTCTTTTTTTTTCTGGTTTCTAATAAGCTTCGCAAGCCACTTCCAACCAATGCCAGTCTCTCTACCAGTCGCCATTAGTGGGTTAAAAATGAATACGCAAAATAGCATACACGTATCTCACCTATCTGGCCAATCACAGACGGTTAAGAGCATTTTCAAAGGGCTATGAAGTCCAGATAAACACGCAGTAGGGGAGCCGTTGTGTGTTCATATAGTTATCATGTAAAAAAAAAAATCTCAGTGTTTTCTCGTGTAGTCGTTTTTTTTCTTCTTCTTTAAACACCATGGACAACAGGACCTTTTGACGCCAAATCAGCTAAAATCATTCTATTTGAGTAGTGCAGGTGGGTTTATTTGTCTGTACAGAAGCTGTATGCTGCTTTCAAAATATCTGATACATTCAGGCAGGTTTCCACTTATTTGTTTTCTAAGGCAGCTGCTCTAGCGTTTAGCACCATGGACAGTGAACCGTCTGCTCTTGATGGGGGGAGACTTAACATATTTGCTCAAGGGCATTCAGGGGAGCCATTGAAAGGCACCTTAAAGGACAGGTTCAGTCATTTTTCCAAGCTGTCCTAAAGCAGTGCTGGCACACCTATGTCATTCAGGCTTTGATAGACATTCTGGCTGATACTGGAGGAACTAAATCCTCAAATGTAAAGAGCATTTTTGCCCACAGCAATGAGTGTCCAATACTAACCCTTTAAAAATCTCCTTTACAGGCTCTTTTTTTGAATTGCATGACACACCTAGATGAGACTCTGTAATACTGCACAAAAGAGAGTTTTCTGCATGTGAATCAGATCACTGTCAGAAATGTATACATGATATGTTTTTGGTTTCTGTCGGTGAGTCCAGGGATGACCACACTGATAACAGAGTTCAAAAGTGGGTGTGGATGTTTTGGCTGTGGGGTTGGTAAGGCAGAACAGCTAACAATCCACCACCCAGCATCTCATGCTAGACAAGCTGTCAGGCCACATGTCACAACACTGGATCCCGAGGCAGTTTTTGGGACACAAGCAGATGTGTTTTATGGGAAGTGTGTGTGTTCTCTGGGGTTCTCTAATTCTCCTTTCCAGTAAACTGTGGAGTTTGAACCACTGTCTCTTTTGTTTTTATTAATGTCTTACCATAAGAAAATATAATGTCTATATGATTAGTTGAAAAGGCTTGTGATCGTAATTTAAAGCTGTCACTGGTTTAAAATAAGGTTTAAATTCCATAGTAATAGAAGGTAGCTTTCAAATTGGGAACAATCAGCTCGTACCAGATCTGAGTATGGCATGAAAGTTGACAGCGGTTATATAGTATAAATTCCTTTAGCTTTGGGGGAAGAATAAATAAATAAAGCAAATGCTTCAGATTTAGACACCACAGTGGCGTCAGTCTTCCTATCTAACCTTTCTAACTCTAATAAAGAAAGCAAATAACCCTGTATTGGTTTGTTATCAGGAATAGTTTGGATTTACATATTGGTTGTGATTTAGGTTAGCTCTGGTTTGATAGGCATGAGTATAAAGTCTAAATCTGGTAAACTCATATTTGCCGACATCTTTGGCTTAGTCACTGTACTCTTAGTGGATGACTCTGCATTCCAGACTTTCCCCTGTTTTTAAGATCTAAGTATAAAAAAAAAACAAAAACATTTTTATACTTTTACCTCCTTTTAAAAAGGAAGGCAAATTAGATGGCAGCCAAGTGTGGCAGTTTCAGGTCCTCCATTTCCATTTCGAAAAGGAAGAAAAGCTGATGATTCAAGGAGACCTCACTTTTGAGGTTGCCAGAGGGGAGGTTCCTGTTTTCTGTGGCAGTATAAGATCCCACAGGGAACAGGACCCACCTGTGAGACTGCAGCGACTGGGCGGCACCGTGAACCAGCTAATAATGGCTCATCAAGGTTTTTTTTAGTTTTTTTGGCAGGGGAGAAAATCTTGTTTGTGTTTCTTCCCTTCCATCCTGTGGGAACAGGGTGGGCCTCTGGGTGTGAAGGGTGGTACAGTAGATGGTTGGCAGGAGGAATCGGATAGTGTGGCTGATTGAGGGAGGAAGTAATAAAAAGCCTGTAATTAATGCCTGCTTCATTTGTTTCTGCTGAAAGTCACTGGAAAAACAGGCTTTTTTTTTTTCTAATTTGAGGCTGTCCGCCAATTAATTAGCAGTAAAAGGACAGTGGCTCCTCTCATTCTGCAGATGCTGCTTTCTCCACATGGCAGAATGCAGCATTAAAAAAAGTAGACCAATATTCTCTTCAGTGACACTCTTTTTTTCCTTTTTTTTTTTTGTTCCTTTTGCTGACCACCTCTGTTGCTGCTGGCTACTTTTGTGTCCCAGTGAATCAGCTGAAGGAATGTCACTGACTTCAGTGCCACTTTTGACTGCCTCAGTGAAGACTGGGACCTGCTTTGCTTAAATAGTTTACCTTGTAGTCAGAGACAGTTGTTGTTGTTTTTTTTGCCTCTGTCTCAAAGTGTATTGATGGTTTATAACCAGATCATACTTATTATTTTCCATGTGATGATTGTGAGATGATTCCTGTTTGTCATTCACTGGTTATAAAAACTGCAAATGCCACACTATTGTGTTATACAATGAGGCACTCAATTTGGTATTAGTCACTCAGGACCATTTGCATGTGAAATGTGCTCTTTTCATACGTTTTCTCTCCCAGCCTTTCAAATGCTTCCAAATCTTTGCAAACTGGTTTCATGTCACCATATAAGAAGCATAATAGTGATTGCATGGTCAAAATATGATATATGTGCCTAATTGTGATGGTAATCGAACATGTCTGAATAAGAGTGGGGTTTTTTGGCGGAACAATGGCAGACTATCCTTTGGGTCAGACCTGCTGCATTTTCCTAACGCTTTAAACACAGCTAAGTCTGAACTGAATGAATCACATCAACGTGATTCCTTTCTGCAGGATCTTCTATGGAATTAACTCATTCACTGCCAGCCATTGGCAGTGAATGAGTTAAAACTCATTCACTGCAATTGACGGCTATAGACGTCAATGGCAGTGAATGAGTTAATAAAACAACAACAATAATAATAATAAAAAGAAGAAGAAATCTCTGTAAAACTTTAGCAAATGTCTAAATTGGCTATCATTCTAACAGCATGATAAAGTGATAGAGATGTGAAATATATAATAAGAGTGGATGTTTTAGGGAAAGGTCTGCCTTTTATTTCTCTGCAGACTTTTCAACTGATGCCTGAATTTGCACCAGCTTTCCATTTACTTTATATGCCACCGGTCCCTCTACAGCTATCTTTTCACTAGTGCAAACATTTACAGAAATGTAAACAACTAGCAAACATAGTTGAACTGTTAACGTCTCTGGCCAAAACTGGTTTTGCTACGACTGTAATGTAGTCATATGTGAAAATGGGCTCACTGCCCTCTGATATCAGCGCTGTAAACCCTGTGATGGCAGTTTATCAGTTAGCTTGGTAGCATAAGAACTGTTCAGCACATGGCACAGCTTTTACCTTAGACCTACTTTATTAACCAAGACTAGATGCACAAAAGAGACATGAAAAAACAGGGTCTCCTAGGTGGCTGCGGTCTAACCAAGAAGACCTTTAGATTACTAATGAACTCATCCTATTTTGGCCTGATCCTTCACCTTTCTCATAATCATCATCACCACATGAGCCAAGATTTTTGCATGGAGCTCCAGATCAAGGGTAACTGGTAGTCATTTTATATGTCTTCCATTTCTGAAAAATAATCACTCCAACAGCTCGCCCCTTGTCACCAAACTTCTTGCTGATGGTCCCAATTCCAGCCATTTGCAGGTTTGCAATCTTGTCCCTGTTTTTTGGTCTCATCCATGGTGGTGGAGCAGTTGGAATGGAAGAAACTGGTTCTGTGGAACAGTGCGTTGAGATCAGGAGTATCTGCGATTGGTTAACTGAGACATTGGCTGTGGTACACAGATTGCAACCTGTAAGAGCCAGAATTCTAGTGGCCATAAAAATAGTGACTGTTCATTCCAGACTTACACATTCAGCAGAGATCAAAAAATCATTTTTCTCCCTTTAAAGATGATATTATATAGCTATTATTGTTATAATCAAAATAAGATATTTCCGCATGAAAACCCAGATTAACCCAAGTCTTCCATATCACACGTACAACGAGTTATGCTTTTATATTTACTAGTATGAAGGTATAAACATCTGCCTCCACAAAAGCTGCTTTGATATGGCGTTCCAGTAACCAGCAGCCAACAGTTCTGCATCTATGTGTATTAAATAATATAAGTTGGCAGTCTGCTCAGGTGACGTACATGAGGAAATGCTATAATTTGACTTGTATTCGGTCTGAACTCATCGAAGGGATCAGGATGTTGTCTGTTGCTAATTAAATTACTCCCTACAGAAAGAAATGACCTACTTTAAATCCTTCTTTTAGCAAAGTATAGCTGGTCATGTTTAGTAAATATTAAAAATAGAGGAACTAATATTTTTTTTTGAGATGCTGTGTGTCATTAGTGTTTTCTCTTCTGCTAATAATCACAACAGTATTTGGGGGGAAAAGCATTTTGTGCTCATAATGCTTTGCCCTTCTCACATTCTAGTTGCAAACTGTCAGTGATAAATCCAGAAATGTCACATGGTCCAGCTTCACACGTCATTAAAATCATTTACACAGGTAGCAGTTCCACCTGTTCGTACTATATTATAACATGTCCCAGGTAGATGACTTCACTCCTCCCACTGGTGCTTTTTTTAGGTCTTGGTTCATTTCTCCTTGCCTTTCCCCCTGCAGCTACCTATCCCAGCTGAGCACTTCGCTTCCCTCTGAAGGAGCAGGATGACAAGATGGCACAGCTGCTTATACCGCCCGGACCTGACAGCTTCCGCCCCTTCGTCCCCGAGTCGCTGGCCGCCATCGAAAGGCGCATCGCCGAGGAGGAGGCCCAGAGACCACGGGTGGAGCGCCGCAGCGACAGCGACGATGAAAATGGGCCCAAGCCCAACAGCGATGTGGAGGCGGGGAAATCTCTCCCCTTCATTTATGGGGACATCCCTCCCGGCCTGGTGTCCACTCCTCTGGAGGACATCGACCCCTACTATAGCAGTCAGAAGGTGTGTTATTAATGTCATCGCTTCACGTTCCGCTGTAAAAGAATAACATCCAAATGGACGTCCGTGGATAACTCTAACACAATTTCTTAGCTTTGCAGGCCTCAAAGTATCATTAAGTACACCAATTTAGCTTTCAATTACAGTATGACTCATGCACTGAATTTTGATACATTACAGGTCTACATTTTCTAGTTCAAGCTTTGCAGTTCATAAAAGCTTGAGGTTAATTGCATGATGTTCTGAACAAACTATTGTAAGTGAACGACTGGGCAGAGTTTCCTCCCACATGTCTAAAATCCCGCCAAGGTTTTTCAGGTTTTCTTCTGAAGGCAGGTTGCATTGAATCTGTGGCTCAGACGAACAGGGTTTGTTTTTAAATCACGCAATATTATCAAACTGTAGCACATTTAGCACATGGACAGACTGAACTGTAAACCATAGTGCAGCATTAATGTGGTTAGTCAAGCCAGAGTCTTTTAAAGCCTGGGCCAACAGAGGTGCTAAATGCTAATCTGAGCTGCTGTGCCAGTAGGACTGTGGTGCCAGACATGTCCTGCCTGCGGTGGACTCATCCAGCTGGACATAGCCTAACACGGTCCTAATTACCGTTATAACCAATCACACATGCACAGGGGTCTCTTAGGTCTTTTGAAAAAGAATGAGGTTTTTGTATGACACAGATATTAACCAGATTTCTTTTGTCTCTCTTTCAGACCTTCATAGTATTGAATCGTGGGAAGGCAATCTTCCGTTTCAATGCCACTCCTGCTTTGTACATCCTAAGTCCCTTCAATCCTCTGAGGAGGATAGCTATTAAAGTTTTAGTGCACTCATATCCTTTTAGAGTTTGCTACAGATGCAGCTTGATTTGGATTAAAGGGTTTATCAGACAAAAGAGGGATTTAAATGGGCTGCTGATGAACACTAAATATCATGATTGGCTCAGACTTTTTAAGTAGACTTTTTTTTTAGTCCTTACAGCAGCTTAGCTGTCGAAGAAAAGATATAGTACTGTGTACTATGACAGCGATGGATGAGGAAATATCAGTTTCAGCTGTTTAACTGTCAGAGCTTGTTGTATGTACCAAACAGAATGATATATGCTTCAAGTGCCCAAATACTGCATTGTCCTTGACTTTGTTTCCACGATGTTCAGCATATTGATCATGTTCACGATCCTGACCAACTGTGCTTTCATGACCCTCAGTAATCCCCCAGATTGGGCCAAGAATGTAGAGTAAGTTACCAGTTGTTTATTTTTGAATTTCTCGCTGTCCCTATTCAGTTAATTTTGGACACACGGAGACAACACTCTTCAAATCAGGACTATTTTTGCCTGGCGCTCGGTCCTGATAATTACTTAATTTGTGATTCATAAGATTCTATTGTTATCGAGGTTTTAAAATTCCCTCTTAAATACGAGTATGTGCCAGACCCAACCCTACTCCAGTCTGCTATGTATAGAAACTCCATCTAAGAATCTACATATAAATAATACAAAACAGACACTATTTAGTGCCTGATTAGATTAATAATGGATTTTTTCGAAAAGTAAGCAGATTTTGTTAAATCCACAGTCAGAGGGCAAGTAGAGCTGTTATAAGGACCTCTTATGCTCAGAAAAACTCATTTCACCTTCTTTTCCAGGTACACATTTACGGGGATTTACACCTTTGAGTCCCTTATAAAGATCCTGGCCAGGGGCTTCTGTGTGGGGAAGTTCACTTTCTTGCGAGACCCGTGGAACTGGCTGGACTTCAGTGTTATCCTCATGGCGTAAGTATTATGACAAACACAGTTAGGATCAGCTTAACATGATATGGCGTAGATTACAAGGCCAAATGCTTTTAATTAGCCCAGCAGCCTAATAAGGCACACTGAATGTGAGAAAAAGAACAGATCAAATGGAGAGCACTGCAGCAATCTGCAGCTTATTCATGTACGCTTTAAAATCGTGGCCAAGAATCTTAACTCTGCTCTGTTATAATGGATGTGAGGCCCCAAAGCACTGTGTATCTCGGCCCATATTAGTCTCATGCCTCAATGACTTCTGCTATCTCCCTTACAACTATAAAAGGCAGCCTTCGGCATTACAGTGCTATTTTTTTTTTGTGTGTGTGTGTGTGTGTGTGACGTAGTATTTGTTACACGCTGAGCACGTAATGTAATAGTACTATCATCTTATTGTGTCTGAGAGAGGTCTGTAGTTGGTAATGGTTGTCTGAGGGGCAGTTTTGTTTCTCACTGGGTTTGCCTGTTCTTTGCTGTGTAGTAACTGTGCATTTAATCCTGCAGGTATATAACAGAGTTTGTAAACCTAGGCAATGTTTCAGCTCTGCGCACATTCAGAGTTTTGCGAGCTTTGAAAACTATCTCAGTAATACCAGGTAAGGCCGCGCCTGCTGCCAGCACTCCTCCCTTTTGTCCTGTGTGTGACTTTTTGTTGTTCCCTCCTCTCCCCTCTTCCCATCCTACGACCCTCTTTTTGTCTTGTCACACCTCATGTGTGTGTGTGTGTGCGTGCGTGTGTGTGTGTGTGCGCATGTGTGTTTGTGCCACACCTTTCCTGAAATGCCCCACATCCCCGCCCACCCCCTCCTTCCCGTCTGCCTCCTCCTTTCCCTTACAGATATGTCACAGAGTTTGTGGACATGGGCAATGTCTCAGCACTGCGAACCTTCAGGGTTCTGCGAGCCCTGAAAACTATATCAGTCATCCCAGGTGAGAGAGCCATCAAGGCCCATGGCGTTAGGGAAATGCTAATGGCTAACTGGCGCTAACATCCAACCCCCCCCTCCCCCAAGCTCATCTCACTGTAGCTAAGCCGTCCCTCGTGCTGCCTTCGTCCCAAGGCCAGTAAAAGCTGGAATCTGGCCCCAATCTGCACAGATTGACACGATTCTTAGCTTTTAGATACATTCTTTAAGGCAGAATTCTTTTTGGTTGGAATCTATTCTTGCCTTGGGAGCCGTAAGAGTAGATTTCTGTGCACTATTTCATTTTCCTTTTTGCATGAGACATTGCAAAAGCCGATTTTCTGGTGGTAAGCACTTACGTGTGTAGGGTTCCTCCTTACCTTGTTTTTCCTGTGCATGTCTTGTTCAGTGTTGTGTGTTTGAAATTGTGAGAAATTGTGATATGGTGAGTGGTGGTTGGGTAACGGCATTCTTAACACTAACGCAATTCACAGCGCAAACTAACAAAACGTTCATATGCTAATCAACAACAACAATAGAACCCAGGACAGGTACAGACGATAACATTAGCTGATCATTGTCATGGCAACAGCAGTCTCCCCAAGCAGGACAATGGCCCTCATTTGTGTATATGAATGTTTAATGCACAAGTCAGGGATTTCTCAATAGTTTGTCCCTACATTTGTCATTTCTTTATGGAAAAATTAAATAATTATGAACTATCCCTTTAGGAAATTTAAACACAAGTATTTAAAATAAATACTGCTACTAATAAATTATAAATTATAATTATAAAACTAATAATTATTTTAATTATAAATAATTAAAATAATTATGATGCCTTTTGGCTGTTATTTCCACTTTACCAAAACATCATAATCGGCAATAAAGTAAATTGCATATACAAAAATCAAAATACTAACAGAAAGCTGTAGGCTTTAGCCTTCAAATCCAAGCATATTCGTATTCTGCATCTCGTTTTATCATATCATAAAGTATTTTGGGTGTCGTCACTTCTTGGCACTATCCCAGAAATGCTGAAGAATAGGAAGGGTTTTTTTTTTCATTGCAGTGAGTTACTTGTCTTGGCCTGACAGATCACATGCTCCATACCCTCTGCCTGTTTTCTTCTTTATCTTATAGTATGTTATTCTTTTTTCATTTCCACTTTGACTCCATGCAGGCAGGACAAGCACACATGTCATAAATCTTCTTTTTAGGGGGTCAGGGCAAATATTAGAAAATGAGGCCCAATGTGTCCTGCCATTCCTTAAAAAGACAATGTGGAGCCCAAGGAGTTGACTTGGCTTCCAGATTCTAATCCATCAAACATCTGTTAAATGTGCTGGAGCAAGCCACACATCTACAGAGCCAGACTGGCTCTCCTGGAGGTCCCATGTCGTGCCCTGCACAGTCTTAGATAAATGGTTTTAATGTTGTTGTTGTTGTTGAACGGTTTATGTGAACCGGTTTATGTGCCAAAAACTGGCACTGACTCTTTGGATAAAGACCATCATCTATTTCCCCTTTCTATTACTTTTTGCAGCTCTCATAGCTACATTCAGACTCAAGTTAAACACAGTGAGCTCATTCTTTTGTGACAGTGCAAGCAGTGCTGGTGCATGGTGGTATTTTTCAGGAACTGGAACACATTTTGTGATAAAGGGTAATAAAAAAGACGGTTCTTTGAAAAAAAATGGTTGTTTAAAGAACGGAGATGTAAATATCTCATCAGTCTTCTATGTAATACCACTCTGTTATGGGAATTTACTTTGTTAAGAGATTTAACGTTCTCATTTTCTTGGTGAGAGTTAGATGAGCAGATATCATTCTCAGTTAAGGTTAAGGATAAATACCAGGCTTTAACAGTCATGCCAGCTAACCTGGCGATATATAGATATCAAAAAACATATCAGCCATCAGGGTCAAAAACATAAATAGAAAAGTTGGAGGTTAATTGTGCCAGATAAAGTGTTTGGTGTTCCAATGAAAGCCTAGGTTTGTTGTAGCAGAAGAATTTTGGAACTGAGCCAAGGGGTTTGTGTTATCATCATACGGTCTTTATTCATCAAACTTGATGTTCTACCAAGTTTATCAATCTAGTGTGGGTTTGCTAAACATTGCTAACATCTTCCAGTCTATATAATATAATTTTCATCAAGAAAATAAATAATACGACTTGATTCCACCATGCACAAACAAAATGTTCAAAGGTTACATGCAGAAATAATTCATCTCTGAAGCACATAAACAAAACTGTAGCTCCTCAACATAAAAAGGCTGGGGTGCAGTCTTCCCTGTATGTGGTGGCCCATTTTCTTTATGCCTTACAAACCAGATGTCTAAGAAATTCATGAGACCATTCTGTGTCTCAGAGGATAAGTCACACTCCAATTTATACTGCACTCCACTGAATGCATGCAGCAGCAGGTTTTCAATGATCCCATCCACAGTACTATGCACTGTCAAAAAAAAGAGCTCACTTGAATAGTTTCAGTGACAGTCTGTTTAAAATAAAAGCAATGACTTATTAATGATCATTCTCCCAGAGACCCCAAAACCATAGCACTGTAATGGGCATGAAATACATAAATTTCTCTAGGGGTTTATTCATGATCAGCAGTGGTCTGTGTCAGCTTGGTTCCAGTATGACTGCAAGTAGTTCATACAGGAACCTCCACTGCAGATCATTTTGGCTGCTTTCTCCTGTAAGCTGTTATTAGCTTCTTTACCAGCTAGTGGCTGCAATTAGCAGGCGTTAATCATTCTGCGATGTCCCACTCCTACTCCCGTACCCCCTTGCCTTCTCTCCCATTTAGGTTTGAAGACTATTGTTGGTGCACTGATCCAGTCAGTGAAAAAGCTGTCAGATGTGATGATCCTCACCGTGTTCTGTCTCAGTGTCTTTGCCCTCATCGGCCTCCAGCTCTTCATGGGCAACCTGAGGCAGAAGTGCGTGCGCATTCCTTTGGGCAGCAACACAACTTTGAACAACACACATGAAAGCAACAACACATTGGTGGAGAACATCACATTGGTGGAGAACGTCACGTTCATGGAGAACATCACAAAAAACTCCTTCGACTGGATAGAGTACATCAATGATGAGAGTAAGCCAAATGAATTGGTGAAAGTGTTTCGTGTCTGCCAGGCGCTCATTGGGGTTAAATACAGTCAACTCTCCCACCCTAGATGCTGGTTATAGTCAGAGATAGGTCAGGGTGGTGGCGGTAATGGTCGAGTGGTGGGGGGAGGTCAGGCATGCTGACTTGTTGCCTTGATAGAGAGTGACAGCGATGGCTGGGAGCAGGCGTTGCGCTCTCCAACAAGAGCTGGTGGGAGAATGTGGCAAATGTGCCAGATAATTGCCACAACAATGAAACCCTCCACTTTCACCCCCTCTCTACCTCTCATCATTCTCCCATAGCCCATCTGTGTGGCATGAGCAGTTTAAAGTGTTAGAAAAGGGTGACTCACTGGTTATCAACAAGACATGCACCGGCTACACAACAATCACATAACAAGCCAGAGAAAAAGAAGATGGATACAGAGAGATTACATTTGCATTTCTTTTAAGACCTAAAATGAAAAAGGGATTAAAAAACATTTTTGTTTTTAAAGATAACTGATATACTTATTACACAGTTAAATGATGATATGTGCTTACATCATGAAAAACCACCAAACAGATGAGTAGTGTAAAAACAAATCCTTTCCTTCAGACTTTTAAGCCATATGCTAAAACTGAAGAAAAACCAACAGGGTGCATATTGGCCTTCTTTTGCCACCATTACTCATATCCATGACGCTCATGGCGCTTTGATGTTGTTGTGACTGACCAGCCCTCTATCTCCTCTACCCTCTAGGAAATTACTATTACCTCCCTGGCCGTAGGGATGCTCTGCTCTGTGGAAATGGCAGTGGTGCTGGGTAAGACTCAAAATGTTTTATTTATATGGCCAATTAGACTACACCACAAAGCTTAGTATACGTACACAATCAGTTTTGACACTTGCCACTGTGCAGAAGCATTCCAGGAATCTAAACTGCTGCTCTATCCTCGGGTAAACGTGTAAAATCTAAGGTTATATCATGCGTGTCAATGTGCTGTACTTGTGTTAGTAGATTACTTATCCTTTTTTTCCTTCTTCTTCTTTGTGATCTGCTGAGTAACTCTAAGTAGCTCTAAGTAAGGCCAGACTCCCTATTAAAGTCCTTTGAATGCTATCTTTCATATCATGTTAACTACTGCAGTATCTCAGGGGTTTAAAGGCAAATGTTTATATTTGTTTATGGAAAATTCCTTAGTTATTTTCAATGTCTGTCTCACACTTTGTTCCAGGTCTCAAGTCAGATTGAGCAGGTAGTTTTGTACTGTGTAATTGTGTGGATGCTTAAGGGTTCTGATCCCTCAAACTTACTCTTATTACTTCTCTTTTAAAATAATATAAAAAGTACATCTAATCCAAAGTGTTGTTTTCTCAAAGGGTCTGCCCAGAGGGCTTTTCATGTTTGAAAGCAGGTCGCAATCCAGACTACGGCTACACCAGCTTTGACACCTTCAGCTGGGCCTTCCTGTCCTTGTTCCGCCTCATGACCCAAGACTACTGGGAAAACCTCTACCAGCAGGTGGGTAGGCCTCTACAGCAGGGGTCCCCAATCCCAGTCCACGAGGGCTGGTGTCCCTGCAGGTTTTAGATGTGTCCTTGATCCATCACAGCTGATTTAAATGGATAAATTACCTTCTCAACATGTCTTGAAGTTCTCCAGAGGCCTGGTAATGAACTAATCATGTGATTCAGGTGTGTTGACCCAGGGTGAGATCTAAAACCTGCAGGGACACCGGCCCTCGCGGACTGGTATTGGGGTCCCCTGTTCTACAGCATCACTGTGCCTTATTTCTGAGGACTAAAGGATGCATATTGTGCCCGTTTCTTGTTTTCTTGTCTTAAAAATAATCCAGCTGTTTTGGATTTTGCAGACTTTGCGTGCAGCAGGGAAGCCCTACATGATCTTCTTCGTGCTGGTGATCTTTCTGGGGTCTTTTTACCTGGTCAACCTGATCTTGGCTGTGGTGGCCATGGCTTATGACGAGCAAAACCAGGCCACCATCGAGGAGGCCCAGCAGAAAGAGGAGGAGTTCCAGGCTATGCTGGAGCAGCTGAAGAGACAGCAGGAGGAGGCACAGGCAGGACATTCATCTTTTTTCTTTAGAACTGATACTTTAAAGCTAAAGAGAAGAGGTTACTTGTATAAGTAACCTCCTCTCTTTAGCTATTTAATTATAATGATTATCTGAGAAATTTTATTTGACATTTTTTTCATGTGGGCATTTATTGTTAAATAACTGTCCATATTAATTAATGTTGTTTCAAACTGCTGAGGAAAGAGAAGTTTGGGAGCTTTGTTTTTATTCGCCTTTTTGTTAATGAGGCCCAGGCAACTCTGGAGATTTGCTGTTGTGGTTGACTGGAAAATATTAGATGCCAAATTAAATAATGTAGTTGTTCGACTTATAAATGAACACACTTGAAATAAAACGGGTCAAATGGCTTCGTTTCTATTGCGTTGATTGGTCTCAGCACTGTTTGCAGCAGATGCATCATAGCTAAGCAGCCAGTGGTACTGAGTTGAGTGGTATCTTCACAGGATGTTGCTGATTAGTTTGCAAACTACACTCTATAATGGCACTGTCATTTTTTCATAGTATAACTCTACCATCAAACATTGACCAATACATTAATTTTCATTTTTAAAAAGTATTTGTTTAACATTCTAATGTGCTTGTTTCTTGCTTCCTTATTATATTAATGTACATGAGTCATTTCATAGCTGCATTTTCAGCGCTCCTTCTCCACCTCTGATCTCTCCTTCAGTGGTTCTGCTCAAGCATTCAGATGTTTTTATTACCCCTCAGCAGTAAAAGGCTGATGGGGTATTTCTGTATCCCTGTCGGACGGGCAGGAGGGCAACACAGACACCCAAACTCAAGAGCTTTCAAAGGGACTTGATACCAAAGATAAATCTACTAGGAGGTTGAGGGGTTGCCATGAGAGACTGTTAAATTCTTATGCTAAAATATAATTATATGTTTTACACTGAAGTGTAGCACATACACATTTCCAAGACATTCCTATCCCAATAACGGTATATCCAATGAAACAGACAATGTGTTTAATTTCAAAAAGACTGTAAACTAAGTATCTAAGCATCCACACAGTTTGTTGTTTTTCTTGAAAAATGTTATAAATGCAAGAATGGTTTGACTGGAAATAAACAAAAGTCAATTTTTAGAAGGTATCGGACGTGTTTGGCTGTTACTGTTTTTGCTGCTGCGCTCAGCTGCCAGGCTACTCTCCTCCGCTTCAGTCTGCCAGAGCCTCTGAGACAGTCGCTGGGTTGCTATGACAACTGTGTTTGTATTCGGATTGGCTGGCAGGTTGCCGCGGCAGCAGCCACAGAGAGTGGCGAATACAGCGGGAGAGGACGCCCTACCTCCGAGTCCTCCTCAGGGACATCTAAGCTCAGCTCGAAAAGCGCCAAAGAGCGACGCAACAGGCGGAAGAAGAGGAAGCAGAGGGAGGAAGAGGAGGAGAGGGGGTGCCGTGACAAGTTCCACAAATCTGAGTCTGAGGACAGCATCAAGAGGTCCAGCTTCCGTTTCTCTATTGATGCCAACAGGCTTTCTTATGAGAAGAGATGCTCTTCACCCAACCAGGTAAATAAAAATAGTTCAATAAAATCAAGACAGTGTTGTCTAATATTTATTCAAATCAGTATGCATTTGTGAAGAAGTGATGTAAAATGAACAATCTTGCTTTTTCTTTGCAATGTCAAAGAATCCTTGAAAAATTCCTGAAATAGATACAGATCTGTATCAGCTTTCAAAGGTCATCCCTTGTAAGCTTGGCCAAACCCCACACTGGGTAAGATTTTTAATGAAATTATGTAGAATTGTATGACTAACCATACCAGCAACTAAATGAGCTGCAGACTGTGAACAGATCCATCTCTAATGGGGTAAAAAAACGAAACATTACTTGTTTATTATTGAGGCCTAGAGATGCCAGTAGAGAGAATATATTGAGACAGACTAACTATTTCATCTTTACGCTAAGTTAAGCTAACCTCATTAGTGTAAACTCATGTTGGCTGTAGCTCTGGAGGTTACCATTTTCCAGAAGTACACGGGTAGAAAATGCATACGCTTCAGTCAGGTTCAGTTAGATGCTGCATTCTCCTTCATGTCCTCTATAATTACTTTCCTTACTTATCTAACCCCATCTCCGCCCCCCCCAGTCTCTTCTCAGTATCCGTGGCTCAATCTTCTCACCTCGGAGGAACAGCCGTGCAAGTCTTTTCAGCTTCCGTGGCCGGGCGCGAGACATGGGCTCCGAGAACGACTTTGCGGATGACGAGCACAGCACCTTTGAGGAGAGCGACAGTCGCCGGGGCTCCTTGTTCTTGCCGCGCCGCCTCGAGCGCCGGTGCAGTGCCGTTAGCCAGACCAGCCTCGGAGCACCTCGGATAATGCTGCCCGCCAATGGCAAGATGCACTGTGCAGTAGACTGCAACGGTGTGGTGTCACTGGTCGGTGGAACTTCTGCAACAACCTCTCCTGTAGGTCTCCTGCTGCCTGAGGTGACTTAACGGTTTCATGGTTTATTTTCCCATTGACTTCCTCCAGTTCATACCTTTCCCTTTATTTGATTTCCTCATTATTCTGTTGTTGAAAAATAGATATGAGATATCATATTGTCATATTAAATTCTCATTACATTGGTACACATTTCTTGACAAGGTCTGTAGCTGTAAATGATGCAGGATTGTACAACAGTACTATTAATCTTACAAAACCCAACACTACTGCATGAGAGATCAGATAGAACCAGAAGGAAGGTAACTGGGTACATTTGCTTGAGTACTTCACTGGAGTGGAGATTTAAAATACTTTTACTTGTAGTGTAAGAATTTCTATGTTCTGCTGCTTTCTGCTTTTTCAATGCTTATTTTATACTTTATTTAGCTAAAGATACTTACTAGTTTGCAGATAATTTGCTTTATTATTAACATAAGAAATTTAAGTAATAAGTAATTAAAATCTTCAACAACTGAAACTTTAAAGAGGAAGATGCACATCAGCAGATAGTTGTGATCAATAATACGTATATAGTGCTGTGTATGATTATGACACTTAATCAATATTCTTTAAATATTTTGATTATTCAAATTTTGTGCTATTAAGCTACAAAGTAGAAATCTAAGTTGTAATAAGTTCAAAAAAAGAAAAATTGTTTAGCAAAACAGTTCTGGTGCATTAAATGACAACGCGTATTGCAGCGATACTAAAAAGACAGCCTCACAGTGTGTGTTTCTTTTTCTTGTATGTTTTTTTACAGGGGACAACTACAGATACTGAGCTTAAGAAACGGCGGTCGGGTTTTCACCAGCCATCTATGGATTATTTAAATGAACCAGGTGGCCGACAGAGAGCCATGAGTGTGGCCAGTATCCTCACCAACACTATGGAAGGTCAGGTCATACACATTTGTAAATCCAGAGAAATAAAACAAACTGCATTCTGAACCCATTAAAACTCATGAAGATGTTTTTATTGTACTCCAGAACTTGAAGAGTCGAGACAAAAATGCCCTCCTTGCTGGTATAGATTTGCCAACACCGGCCTGATCTGGGATTGTTGTCCTGCGTGGCTGAAAATCAAAGAGATTGTCAGCATGGTGGTCATGGATCCATTTGTGGATCTAGCAATCACAATTTGCATAGTCCTCAACACCCTTTTCATGGCCATGGAGCATTACCCCATGACAGAAGAATTTGATAATGTCCTTTCTGTGGGAAACTTGGCAAGTATTCATTGTGTTTCACTTAAACTTGACAAAACCAGAACCATTGTCATTGTGAGTCATCTTTTATAATCCAGATTGATTTAAAACTGCTTTTATTCCCCATTGTTAGGTGTTTACAGGCATCTTCACAGCAGAGATGTGCTTTAAGATTATCGCTCTGGATCCCTACTATTACTTCCAGGAGGGCTGGAACATCTTTGATGGCATTATTGTTAGCCTCAGCCTGATGGAGCTTGGCTTGGCTAACGTTGAAGGGCTGTCTGTACTCAGGTCCTTCAGATTGGTAAGATCACTCACAGATACGCTGGGTTCAGAACGCCTCAGTCTCCAATAACACCAAGATGTTTCAAAAAATTCTCTTTAATAATGAGGGAATGATGTAATAACAGCACATGAAAGGCATCACTGAAAGTTACTTTTGTCTTTGGTGTAAAGTGAGATCTCCCTGTTTCATCCGATTAGCTTTTTGACTTTTGCTAGTTGTAAAGAGAGACAAGAAGTACGTAATGGACTTGACTGACCACTCAGTGGTTTACATTACAAATCACATTCACACATTAACACATCACTTAATTTAATGCACTTTAAGCACTTTAGTTGGTCAGAAGGTTCCTTTGTGAGTGCGCATGCGCCATTAGCGTGCTGCCTGCTGTAACCCCTAATTTCCCTCGGGATGAATAAAGTATTCTGATTCTGATTCTGATGTCTGCCTCACATCTATTCCCACTGAAATTTCAAATGACCACTTAGCCTAACATGCTTGTTTTTGGATTGTAGTTTCAGTAGATTATTAAAGTTATTGAAAAAACAGATCTGTTCATGTAATATGTGGCAAAAGACAAGAAGTAATTAGAAGCACAAAAACAACTTGTCTCACTCAAAATGAGGATTGCATATGAAACATGGACATGGCCACCCATTGGTTTGCAGACTTCATATTGAGCTGAGGATTTTCACTAAGAAAGCAGTGGATCTCTCTGAGAAACTGAGGGCACTGCATGTCTCAAGGCCTCAGACACACAGGCTAAGATACTGGTTGGTGACTTCTCATAACCCACGGTCACTACAAATGTGCATTCCTAGCCAGTTGGTAAGTCATTGCTGGCTGTCACCAGGTGAAATCTGCTGCAAATAGGGTGTTGCTCACAAGAAGCCAAACCTTCTTGTGAATGCTTTGGCTGCGAGCAGATTGCTGTGGTTGCCCAAGACACTGTCTTAAAATAAAATAAAAATACATGTCATTTTATTCTCCGAGCTGTAGTGAAACTGTAAGTACCATCGTGCAATCTGGAAGTGGAGAACAGTTGGTCCTTACCATTGCTACCAACACATTTCAAGAGATACAGCTTTTTCTTTGAAGGCAAATGTGCTCAACTTCAGGTTGGCGTCCCACTTCTCACAGTATCACTATTGCTTGATGGGTAGTTTGCAAAAGTTGCATAGAGATTGGCATTTTCTATAGTGCAATAACCAATACCACTTTTGACCAGTGTCACGCTAGCAACTGCCAGCAGCCTGTAGAAACTACTTGACAGCCATTCACAGAATACATATTTTTACCTAGGGGGTAATCAGGGGTCGCTGACCAGTCACTGACCTGCATTAATGTGGCTCTAGCAACCAGTTTCAGAGAGACTTCTAGCACGCTCCTGCGTAAACATTTGTGACTGGTCAGGGAATACATTTCTCTTGTGACCGGTGGTTGCCAGATGATCACTGATCGGTCTTTAGGGCTGTGTGACTAAACTCAATCAGGAAAATGTGTACAATGAATCACGTGAAAAGTAGATGGTAGTGGTAAATGGACTGGTTCTTATATAGTGCTTTTCTACTCTACCTGAGCACTCAAAGCACTTTATACAACTTGCCTCATTCACCCATTCATACAAGCAGAAAAAGCAGAAAAGAGTCTATGGGCTGCTGGTATTCACTTCTATACAATCTGACTTTCAGAGTAGTCAACCCCTGATGGCCATCAGAAGACACACACATTTAAACACGTGACTTTCTTTTTTGGACTAAGAAACTAGGCCTGTTGGTGGTCTATAAATAAAACATGTGTCAGTAACTGATAAGATTAAAATCTGATATATATAATATATATATATATATATATATAATTTCTTTTCCTCAAACAGCTGAGAGTCTTCAAACTAGCCAAGTCTTGGCCAACTTTGAACATGCTCATCAAGATCATCGGTAACTCTGTGGGTGCTCTGGGAAATTTGACTCTGGTGCTGGCCATCATCGTGTTCATCTTCGCTGTGGTGGGCATGCAGATGTTTGGCAAAAACTACAAGGAGTGCGTGTGTAAGATTTCAGAGGACTGCATGTTGCCCCGCTGGCACATGCACGATTTCTTCCACTCCTTCCTTATCGTGTTCCGGGTGCTGTGTGGAGAGTGGATTGAAACCATGTGGGACTGCATGGAGGTGGCAGGACAGACTATGTGTCTTATCGTCTTCATGATGGTCATGGTGATTGGAAACCTGGTGGTATGGGCTCAATATTTTCTTTTAAGTTTTTCACCTTTGGACAGCCATTAAGCTACGTACACACTGGAAGCGATCTGCTTGTGGCACATGTTGTTGAATCTAATGAAACTGGTTGCTTGTGGACATTCTATGCTCCGGTTGCGTAGGTGAGCTAACATATTTACTACCAGGTCATATATCAGTTAGCTGTATTCTTCACTCTAATTGGTCTTTGCTTCAGGTGCTCGCTTGTAACTTGAGCAAGTTTCTTTTTAGGAAGTTTATCTCTAAACATCATTCGCTTTCTATGGTATCTAGTCGCCAGGTTGCTGCAAATCATTTCCGGGGTGTACGTAGCTGTAGAGTTTTTATCAAATGTCGACTTCATAGGGCAAAGAGTTAAATCTGTATAAAATAGAGTTTTTATGTTTTCCTGCCATGACTCTTTCCTAGGTTCTAAATCTCTTCCTGGCTCTCCTACTGAGTTCATTCAGTGCCGACAACCTGGCGGCAACCGATGAGGACAGCGAGATGAACAACCTGCAAATTGCTGTGGGCAGGATCCAGCGGGGCATCGCATTTGTCAAAAACGCAGTGCGGCAGTTCCTCCAGAGCTTGTGCTTTGGCAGGGGTGGAAAGGGCTCTGGTCTTGCTGAGGAAAGCAAACCCCTGGATGAACTACACAGCAATGGCAAGGGCAACTGCATTTCCAATCACACAACAGTGGAAATCACCAAAGACCCCAGTGGGGTGTACATGAGGGAGGGCAACGGACGACCAGGAGGGCTGGTGGTTGGGGTCAGTGTAGGACGGGACAGTACGGGAAAATACCCAGTTGAGGACTGTGACTACATGTCATTTATTCATAACCCCAGCCTGACAGTCACGGTGCCTATTGCTGTGGGCGAGTCAGACTTTGAGAACCTAAACACAGAAGATTTCAGTAGCGACTCATCTGACGTGGAGGGCAGCAAAGAGGTAAGATGAAAAATGAAGTGACTGCAGTATGTCAGATTAACAGAAATCTCTTGAATGACACAGCTTTTGTATTTGATTAGCTCCTTTATGTGTAAACTTAACACCCAATAGAAGTCAATCACTATATGAATAAGTCAAGAGATTGCCTTTTGAGAAATTTTCCAGAGACAGTCAAGCAGTTTTAAAATAACACACCTGCTGACTCATTTGTACATGCATCATGCCGTGTTGCTGATGAAATCTGCTCGAGATTTTAGTCAGACCTGCAGCTCTTGGCAGTAGAATAAGATACAACGTTACAAATAATGACTCAAATTTGCATTTTGACCAATGAAACAGTTTAACGTTGACCATATACATAAGGCTATGTGTCTCTGTAATATTTCATGTAGACTTGCTTAATATCTTGTTTTCTTTAGGGGACATGTGTGCCTGTGTGGAGAAAGACTTAATGAAGCAGCCGTATTATTAGAAATGTAGAGATGTTGCTCTATCAGCTTGCGTCCGGACATTAATAAAATGTTTAAACAAAACAAGTTACCTCACCCTTAAGACATGTTTTTCTTTTCTAATTCATTGCCTATTCTAGTAGAGCAGCAGCTACATTTGCTCTTGAGCCTTGCCAGGCTGACAGAGCACTGAGACTGTGCTCCCCGGTGATGTCAACCTGTTACTGTGGGTGTGGTGCCAATTATCTGTGATTCAAAACAACCCAGAAGACTATGTCCACTATATTATGTCGACGGCACCTCATCATCCATATATGAATCAGGCAATGGTGATCTTTAAACCCTGTATCGAGTAGTTGGTGAGCCATTATATTCATGCAGCAAACGATGCTGTGTTGTCATAATATTTAATGTCATAAACTCAAATTATAGCAAACATCAATTTAAACATTAGGAGCTACACCGGTGAGGGGTTGGTGGATGTTCTTATTGTGTATGCGTTGTGTGAGACGTGTCAACCCACTGTTTTTGCATTGCTGTTAGGAAATGTGTATTTGGGGACAGCTAAAGTCATATTCTCTGAGGATAAGTGGTCCCCTTGTTGTGTGTTGTGGGCTGACCAGTGAAAACAGATTTGAGGTTGTATGTTAGCTTTTGGTGTGTATGACTTACTTTGTTTAACCCCCCGTTTGTTATTGCAGCGGTGTCACAGGCGCTCTCAAGGTTTTCAGTGAGAGGAGAATTGTAAGACCTCTTTATTGTACCATAGCACTAACCATGAGGACTGCCTATGCCATTTACAGACAAACAACACACTTACTTTTTTGTCATACCTTCAATGGATTGCCCATTTTTGTTCTTTGCCTGGTCTGCCCTCCGTTCCCCTACCCCACCCTACCCCTCCTTCTTTGCTTTATCCCCTCCCTTTCCCAAACAGCAGGGCACTCACTGCTGTAACCTCTGAGTCCTTCTGTAACCCCCCCCTACCCCACCCGCCCCTTTCATAATTTATCTCTGAGCATCAGGCTGTATTGCAGTTCCAAACCATTAAGAATGAGCAACACCACCTCTTTTTCCATTGATAGATAAACTCATCTAACATGACGTTTGCTTTTGATTTCATTGCTTGGTTTTTGACTTGGTTTTGGGACTTGATTGGCATCAAACACTCCGAGCTTGAGAATGAAGGAAGAGAGGAAGAGGAGAATGAAGAGGAGTAAGGGGGAAAAAGATGGAATGGGGAAATGAATTTTGCTTTAGCTGGACAAAATTCATTTGTCTGGTTCATAGCCCATGCATACATACATGAAAAACTTGTTTTTTGTCTTACTTGAGTAATAGCGGAATGATGAAAGATTCTTAACAGAATTCTTTCCGAGAAGAAAATAAAGAAATGCTGATGTGTAAATGATGACTTTTGCAGGGTGGTAAAACAGGTAACACATGGCTGGTTATACTGAATCAGAGTTATGTAAATGAGGGCAAATGCTTTATATATACATGCTTAAGAAGCCACCTCTGTTGTTGGCGCTTCTGCCCCTGTGTTATCGACTTTTGTTACACTGCAAATATTTCATCACCTGATAATTAAGTCTACCAGTTATTATCCCGATAAAAATATGTTAGGTTAAGACTAAAAGCCTTGTATGTAGTTGACATCCAGAAGAGGTAACATGGGTTTCTTATTAAAGGTGAGAAATAGAGCGGGAGGAAACCACCCTTCCAGAAAACACTTGCAAGCAGCATGCTTCCATCATTCCCATGCCGTATTAGCTGGGTCCCACGGCAATCAGGGCTGCTGCACTGTCAGACCGACATGAGGAAACAACACCATCTCTGCCCAAAGAAAACAGACAGGAAGCCTTGCGTCACCCAAAAAGTCTCACTATATGCAGATGATTTTGTAATGGACATCACTGCATGTGAGGGTTTTAGAAAAGCGTTAGCAGTGTGCATAATTCACGGTAAGGAGGGCAGAGAGAAGGTTGAGGTGGAGGACACAAATCTTAGTCCTGGATGTTTCTGGGTATGTGTGGATGCTAATTCCGGATGTTTTACAAATGGGAACCCAAAAAATACCTGCCAGACCACATGCTGTCTTATAAACAGTGCACAGTACTGGTTTTTGCTGGTAAGCTAATGTGGTTCTCCGTCTACTTCAACACAAACAGAAGGAGCTTGTACACTGCTTTCAAGGAATGGAAATAAATGGTGTTTTCATGTCACTGAGGAAAATTTTCAGCGGCAGTTCTGAAGGTGGATTTTAGGATTGAGGGTGGGAAAAGAATTTCAGATCATAATTTTTAGAAAAGAAATGGGATAAATATCTTTAACAAATTGATTTTGAGTCAGTTTCAGTGGACATGAAAACACTGGAGCACACGTTCTGCTTGGTACTATTTCAGGCTTGGATTGATAATGCACTGGAATACTGCATGAACTATTCCTCGAACTGAGGTCACATCAAACGTACCCACAGTGCATTTCCATAACGCCAACTTCCCCATGCCACGTATTCTGATTTGAGCCATCAGATAAATCTAATTCCTAAGCCTGTAGGTACATTTGATCGATGCTGCATGTGATGATGATGATGATACAATGACTTTAAAGAGCCCAACTCTGTGAGCTATTACAGTGCCTAGTCCTCACACTATGGTATTCAATCGTGGCACTGGGGTACGTGTGACTGGAGAATCACAATGATAACCAGCTCAGAAGGTTGGCTCCTATAACCAAGGGACTTCAGTGTGATGCATTGTAGTGTGACTTTGTCCTCTCGTGTCCTTCCTCATCCATGCAGAAGCTCGACGTAGAGCCCCAGCCACTGAGCTCATCGGAGGGGAGCACAGTCGATATCCGCCCCCCTGGAGATGGGGTTGATTCAGTGGAGCTGGAACCTGAGGAGTCACTGGACCCAGAAGCCTGCTTTACAGAGGGTAAGTGGGATGCAAGGGTGATAGGCAGGGATGATGATGGAAAGTGGGAAGGTGGACCAGAGCGAGGAAGATGGGGAGACAAAACACTTCCAGAGCACATTTCAAGACTTGGAGTAAATCGCATTAACTGCTTGTGCTTAGCACAGGTCTGTCTGACTAACAACTGAGTGACAGTGAATTCAAATGCTCAGCGGAACAGATAAAAATGTGGTCTGTGGGGTTCTGTTGTTTTGTAATGTAACCTGACATTTTATCTGACATACCTTTAGTACCATTAAAGCTACTTTCAGCAGCTCTGCTGTTCATAAAGGGGTCACTACAGCGGGTAGCTCTGACTATTTAATTTGGGAGATTTTTATGTCGCGTGGCCTTCCTGAGGGGATTTGTGTCTCCTCCTGGGATCGAGGCAGAGATATTTTGCTTGTTAGGTGTGTAAACCACTACTGGAGCCACCTCCAGTACAATCGTGAATATGCATATAACAGATGTAAGCAATATATTATGACTTGCATTATGAGTGTGCGTAAATCATAGCAGCAGATGAAAGCATAAGACCCCGAATGAATTAACAACAAAGAACAACATATTTTAACGCTATTCTATGTTACTAATATGTCAAATAGAACATTAAGACCCTTTCAGTGAGCAATCATATTTTAACTTTCAGTGGATTTTCAAACAACTGCATGGAAAGATTTTATGAAATGTTGGTGAAAAAAAATAAACTGAACTGAATTCTGTATGCTGCCTGAAAGTTTTGTGGACTCCTTTGATTTTGTTTTTCAATTTTTTTAAGCTTTTGCATTTTCATAAGATAGCATAGAAGAGAGACAGGAAAGCAGAGAGTGTGTGGGAGAAGATGTACAGCAAAGGGCCTTGGGTCAGAACCAACCCTGGGCCACTGCATTCAGCCTTGTGGCATCTGGTTGCCTACTCAGGTTGTGAGCTAAACAGGCATGCTTAACATGTGACTTTGATTTGAATCACACCACTTTAACAGTTTGCAGTGAAGCATGGTCACAGATCTAGAGCAGTAAGCTTGGTTGGTTTATCAGTTTTTGCGTAAAAAAATGATTGAAATCAATAATTAATGACATTAGGACATTTCTGGGTGTTTGGATATTTATTTCAGTCACTTTAAGGTTATTTACAAAATAAAACCCCTCAAACAAAAAAAGCTGACTGATTTCTTGTGGGTAATTTTGTTAACACATTCAGTTGGATCAAAAAGGGATTACATCAAAGCTCTTCTTTGGTCCCAACTACTAAACAGCATCTTCTAAGTTCGCTGTTGCCATCTGCATACATAAAAATTCCCATTCACTACTTACATTCAGAATCGAGCCAGAACATCATAGGTCTGAAATAGATTTCCCAAAATTCCTCCACAAATAGTGATGTAGTTGCTACAGGATAGCGATTGCTGTTAAACTGTGAGGTGACATAAGTGCAACCTTGCTTTTTGAGAATGACACAAATATTAGTTTTCACAAAGTTTGCTGCTAAACTGCTTTTAGATCTTTGTCTCAGTTGTTTCTGTGATGTACTGAAATATAATTACAAGAACTTCATACGTTTCAAATTACATGACAAATGCAAAGAGTCAGTACTTGCAGTGTTGGCCCTTCTTTTTCAGGACCTCTGCAATTTGACTGGGCATGCTCTCAATCAACTTCTGGGCCAAATCCTGACTGATAGCAACCCATTCTTTCATAATCACATCTTGGAGTTTGTCAGAATTAGTGGGTTTTTGCTTGTCCACCCGCCTCTTGAGGATTGACCACAAGTTCTCAATGGGATTAAGATCTGGGGAGTTTTCAGGCCATGGACCCAAAATTTCAACGTTTTGTTCCCCGAGCCACTTAGTTATCACTTTTGCCTTATGGTACGGTGCTCCATCGTGCTGGAAAATGCATTGTTCTTCACCAAACTGTTGTTGCATTGTTGGAAGAAGTTGCTGTTGGAGGGTGTTTTGGTACCATTCTTTATTCATGGCTGTGTTTTTGGGCATAATTGTGAGTGAGCTCACTCCCTTGGATGAGAAGCAACCCCACACATGAATGGTCTCAGGATGCTTTACTGTTGGCATGACACAGGACTGATGGTAGCACTCACCCTTTCTTCTCCGGACAAGCCTTTTTCCAGATGCCCCAAACAATCGGAGAGAGGCTTCATCTGAGAATATGACTTTGCCCCAGTCCTCTGCAGTCCATTCACCATACTTTCTGCATAAGATCAATCTCTCCCTGATATTTTTTTTGGAGAGAAGTGGCTTCTTTGCTGCCCTTCTTGACACCAGGCCATCTTCCAACAGTCTTCGCCTCACTGTGTGTGCAGATGCACTCACACCTGCCTGCTGCCATTCCTGAGCAAGCTCTGCACTGGTGGCACTCCGATCCAGCAGCTGAATCCTCTTTAGGAGACGATCCTGGCGCTTGCTGGACTTTCTTGGATGCGCTGAAGCCTTCTTAACAAGAATTGAACCTCTTTCCTTGAAGTTCTCGATGATCCTATAAATTGTTGATTTAGGTGCAATCTTAGTAGCCACAATATCCTTGCCTGTGAAGCCGTTTTTATGCAACGCAATGATGGCTGCACGTGTTTCTTTGCAGGTCACCATGGTTAACAATGGAAGAACAATGATTTCAAGCATCACCCTCCTTTTAACATGTCAAGTCTGCCATTTTAACCCAATCAGCCTGACATGATGATCTCCAGCCTTGTGTTCATCAACATTCTCACCTGAGTTAACAAGACGATTACTGAAATGATCTCAGCAGGTCCTTTAATGACAGCAATGAAATGCAGTGGAAAGGTTTTTTTTGAGATTAAGTTAAATTTCATGGCAAGGAAGGACTATGCAATTCATCTGATCACTCTTCATAACATTCTGGAGTATATGCATATTGCTATTATACAAACTTAAACAGCAACTTTTCCAATTTCCAATATTTGTGTCATTCTCAAAACTTTTGGCTACGACTGTACAACCAGTTGACAACTATTTGAGTTGGATGGACTACTCCAGCGACTTACTGTGCCAATAATATGGACTTATTGGCACAAACTGACTCCAATCTGTGTGAAAGTGAATCCAGTCGGTCCGAGTCAGACCTAAATGTTTGGAAACTGGTTGCCTCTCACCAGCTAATCTGAGCAACAGCTTTGCAATCAAAGTAGCACCCAGAAATACAACACAATACAAATACAACAGAATACAACACCCTCAACCCCTGGGCAACCATTTGGTCACCACAACTTATTGCAGTCAATCACAGAATATGAAAATTCTTCAATAAAAACAGTGTGTGGGGGGAGGGTCGACCCTGATCACAATGAAACTTCAAGAAGTCATGAACAGGACAGAAGCAGTGTTATGTGAAATAACAACAAAAGACTCAATTATTGTAACAGCAGTGAAAATTCAGTTTATTCTGGGATTTTGTTGGCTAAAATGTTAGCAACAACCTTTACCGTATTAAGGCATGCAGTTCGTATTCATATAACTTATCTGGATAACAGAAAGCAGTCCCGCAATATGTTATCCAGTGGGGCCGTGTTTATGTGTTGATTCACCATGGAGTTTTGATACCTGGGTTTCATTTCTCATTCTGTTTTCTCTGTGCCTGCAGGCTGTGTGCGCAGGTTCCAGTGCTGCCAGATCAGTGAGGAGGGAGACAAGTTTAAGAGCTGGTGGACACTCAGGAAAACCTGCTTTATCATAGTAGAGCATAACTGGTTTGAATCCTTCATCATATTCATGATTCTGCTGAGCAGTGGAGCACTGGTGAGTGGGTGTTAGACATCTTGATAAACACTGCTGGGGTCTGTCTTATGAACAGAGTTTGTTCTTCACTGCACTCGTTTGGCTTGCTTTTATATACTTTCTGTTTTTATTTCACAGTCTGAAAGCACCACATTTAGGACAGCTTCAGTTCTCTAAGCAGTTACTGTACCTGTTAACATTCTGAATAGATCTTTGATGAATCACTTATTTCACACTTCACTATTTCTATCTAAAGTTTCTATAAAATATTCCATGCTGCACAGGCTTTTGAGGACATTTACATCGAGCAGCGGCGGACCATCAAAACCGTGCTAGAGTACGCAGACAAAGTGTTCACTTACGTCTTCATCCTTGAAATGCTGTTAAAGTGGGTGGCATATGGCTTTGTCAAGTACTTCACCAATGCCTGGTGCTGGCTGGACTTCTTAATTGTAGACGTAAGTATATTCAGTGTTCGCTCTTATTAAAATTAAGCCTCCAATCTGGTGTACAATGAGACAATAGAACCAGAAAGCACCTTAACAGCATATGGACTGGTAACTGGAACAGACCGCTACCATGGCCCACACCAAGACTTAAGTTAGCAAAGTCAGCTGAATCTTCTTCCCTCCATTCTTTGTGATAACATAAGCCAGCTCATTAAACATTTGACAAGAAAGAAAATTAACTTTAATAACAGCCATGCTGACATAATTGTAGTTAACTTATTGTTCTGTCATTTCTTTACTTGAAGTTGTTTTTCTAACACTCATTATAGCACAGAGCAAGTGAAATCCTTTCATTTTTCACCCTTCACCCTGCTTATCTGATATTATCTCCTCTCAGGTGTCCTTGGTCAGCCTGGTAGCAAATGCTCTGGGCTACTCTGAGCTTAGTGCCATCAAATCTCTGAGGACACTGCGAGCTCTACGGCCCCTGAGGGCCTTGTCTCGGTTTGAGGGCATGAGGGTAAGAACAGCAGGAATACTGTTTGTGGGCAAGTTGAAAAAAAAGAATTAAGATCAATTCTCACACCAACCAATTACATCTTCCATATGCTTCAAAATGTCTAGGTTTCAGATATTCAGTTAAATTGTAAAATATGATGGAATTCAGTTTTACTTTTATCTGTTTATGTACCAATAGTTAAGGGAAAAAAATACCACTCTCTTGTTAGTTAGTACAGTCGATGCCTTGAGCACCTGCAAATTGTTAAAAACACACATTTCTGACATGCATATAAATCCCTATTTTTATAGTTTAAACCCTAAATATGCCCGAAATACGTGAGAGAGCTACGGGCAGTAAAATGTTACGATTCTGGAATACTGGACTGCCCGAGATGAATAATGCTCTTGGATTGGCTACTTTCAAACTTTCTATCACTTAGTACAGTGGTATGTCACGACCCCAAGCTGAGCTTTCCTCTATGATTGCTTCGTGTTGTTTCTACTAACAAGACTAAGAAGTCTCTACTTTTTAAAGAAAATTTAGTGTATTCTGGCTTGATTTGTCTGAGAACCTAAAAATATATAAATAACTAACTGCAACCTGAGTGCTGGCTGTGTCATGCAAAGATGATGACCTGCTCTAAATTTTAAAAAGCAACCTGAGATCAAACCACCAACTTTCTGATTAGTAGATGACCTGTTCTATTCAATTCAATTTTCACTTCTAATTTATTCATACAGCGCTAAATCACAGCAACACTTGCCTCAAGGTGCATTATATTGTCGGGTAGACCCTTACAATAATGCATACAGACAAAAACCCAACAATCATATGACCCCCTATGAGCAAGCACTTTGGCGACAGTGGGATGGAAAAACTTCCCTTTTACAGGAAGCTCTACCTCCTGAACTACAGCCACCAGGTTCTGAGCATGTGCTCACTGATTAATGACTTGTCAGATCATTAGTCAATGAGCACCCAGTTTCATTCCACATATAATCCTCCATTAAGAAAAACAGTATGACCAAGACTTATAAAGACTTTTGGTAGCGATATCATTGCTATCATCTAACTCTGGGCAATGTAACGTAAATAGGTTTATTTTGCAAACGGTATGTAAAAATGCTCATTTGAACTTTCAGCCTACGTCTTTATTTTCCTTAGAAAGGTGAATTCTTATGACATTCTTTTTGTTCTCTGTATCGCTGAAGCTGTATAGACATTCTCAGTGTTTTTGTTAGATATGCTTTTAGATATGCTGAAGGGAAAATGCCCCCATATTTTTTTTACTTTCGTGTTTCAATATTTTAATGTTACTTGATAAATCTTTTTACAGAGGTATTGTAAGAAGGTTTTAGCTTTTTAGGGGGCCTGTCTGTAAGACTGCATGCTTTTAAAACTTCTGTAAATGTATCATTTCCTTACAGTTGGACACTGTAATTGTTCTCTCTGCATGACTTTCTTCACATTGTGTTAATGGATTGCTGTATATAGCTGTTCTCAGGCATTGTTTTTCTGGCATTGCTTGCGTGGTGCCTTTGACCTGTAATTTTTTTCTTTGTTGTGTGTCTTTTTTTCATTTACAGTCAAACAAAATGTTGTGACTTCATCCCGCCTCTCTAAGGTTTTTTTCTGTTTTGCTTTTTTACCTTTCAAATGGTAGCCTTTTCACCTATCCACCTTCTTCTTTCCAACTGTCATGTTGTTAAGTAGATATGTATGGTGTTAAGAGCTTTATGTGTGCAGATACTGTTTATTAATCACAGCTCTGAGTTACACAGCTTCACTGTTAACTTTTGATTCAGTCTTGGTATTTGTTCTGAAAGCATAAACATTTTGGCTCAATCCAGTCAGTTGACCACATGTGCTTCTGACAGCTAAGTGATAAGATAATTGTAATGGCCAGTTATCCTTCTTTAGCACAGACTTTGATTTGAGAAAACGGTGAGTTCTGAGTCAGACTGTGTGTTTCGACATCCCCAGGTTGTGGTGAATGCATTGCTGGGAGCCATCCCCTCCATCATGAACGTGCTGCTGGTCTGCCTCATATTTTGGCTCATCTTCAGCATCATGGGTGTCAACCTGTTTGCGGGCAAGTACTACTACTGCGTCAATGCCACCACGGATGAGCCCTTCCCTAGCGAAGTCGTCAACAACAAGTCTGACTGCCTGAGCTTGAATGACAGTGCCCGCTGGAAGAATGTTAAAATCAACTTTGACAATGTGGGAGCCGGCTATCTGGCTCTGTTGCAAGTGGTGAGTTTAGATTGCAATTGGCATTAAGAAGAAAAGAGCAGAAATCTCAAAGTATACATATGTATTTGGAATCATTTATGCCGAAACTGTCTGACTTCTACAATTCTGTTTTGTGATTTGAGTCTGTCTTTAGCTTTAATCTTGCAGTTGGCGCCATTCATCCGTAAACTATATCCACTTATTCGTATAGATTGGGAGATTTTACTCTGGTCAAATTGAGGAAAAAAAACAAGCAGGAAAAGAAAAACATGTAAACTCAAACACAAAGCCACCATCTGACCAGCACACTTCAACACAGAACCATTTGGGGTTAGGTGAGAGGTTTGACAGGACCACTTAGTCAAAAGGTCATTTTGACGTTTGATGGTCATTTTTGGATTAGGTCATTTGTATTTGGTGGTATGTCTCAATTTGATGACCTACACACACAGTTCAAAATCCTAAAGCAAAGAAAGCACACAGCCGGTCCTTCCATGTATAAAGAGAGAAGGACTGAAGAATCTGTAGCCCTATATTGCCATTATGAGAGTATAATGAAAAATAATTGTGCTAACCTTGTAGTTCCATTCCTTGGACTTATTAGTCTGCTTGCCTATCGATTCCACTTATCAGTTCCACTTGCACTACAGTCAGCTGATTTCAGTCTGTGTGCCAGAAGAGGGAAACAGTGGCGCAGTCTACAGCATGGTTATAAACGTTACTTTTATTTTTATTACATAAAAGGACAAGTGTGCAAACTTCAACATGTACAAGCAGTCAGGCTGCTGAAACTGTTTAGAGGCAGAAGCTGTTTGCTGTCATGCAAACATGTTCATGTTTCTAAAGTAGAATTACTGTGGCATCACTATAAAATCTCTTTGTGCTGGTTTTCATCTTTGCCACTGCACTTAGGTGCCACTTGAGCTCCGGTACCAAGCAGAGTGAGCACAGGGGCCACTAGAAGATGCCGAACCCTAAGGCCATCCTCATGAAGTCTATTTTTGATTGTTTCTACTGGAGGTTGCTTTGTGGTCATTTTGTAGGGTTTTGGCAGTGCTCAAAAGAGCACCTACAAGTCCTGACGATGGGTTAAGGACTTCTACAGTCTTGTCTAGCTCTCATAGAGAAACTGCCCATCTCCTGCTAAAATACTGTTTCTTCTGTTACCTGCTTTTAGGCAACATTTAAGGGTTGGATGGACATCATGTATGCAGCTGTGGACTCTCGGGATGTAAGTAGATGTTTAACAGAGTTGTAGGTTTGCTTCCACATAGTGAAAAGTCCTTGCTTTTATATTTTAATATAATCTATGTTTTAATATTTTCATCATATTACATATTACATTTTTATGGTAGCTGGTATAACTTTAAATTTGCTCTTTTTTACTTTTCTAGTTGGAAGAACAGCCTAAATATGAAGTAAACTTGTACATGTACCTCTACTTTGTCATCTTCATCATCTTTGGCTCCTTCTTCACACTCAACCTTTTCATTGGTGTCATTATCGACAACTTCAATCAGCAGAAGAAAAAGATAAGTTACATCTTCATTTAAAAGTTATATTGACTAATAGTTTCTGTCAGCTAATGTAAACCGACATATTTTATAGGCTTCTTTCAGTTTGGGCATTTTAAGTTATATTATTTGTAAAGTATTACCTTTATTTATTGTATTTTTTTGGCTAGGTCTTAACACAGCAAAGGATTCTCATTATAGAGTTCAATTTAAGAGAGTTACCATTTTTATTCTAATGACTTTTTAGGATTCCTAATTGCAGTGAGCTAGCTAATTTGTGTTGTCAATCTGCAGTGAAATCTTCACACTGTTTAGTCACCAGAGACAATTCCTTCTAGTTTTCCTCTCCAGTTTATTAATTACAAGCAGATTTTGGACATGTAGCTCCTCTGTCTTTGCGTAAATGTAAAACTATAGTTTGCTCAAAACACCAAAAATGTGTTTAGTATGAAATCACTTTTTAAATCACTTTAAGAGGTGGATAACATTTTTTTAAGTAAAAAAATGGGGATGTATTTGCAGATTTGTCAAATTTGATAGATGCATACAGCTGTGTTATGTTGTCTAGATATTATACATCTAGACATGGCTGTGCAAAAATAAAATGATGGATTATTTATTTGGTTTCTGGATTTATTAAATGTCTCGTGTTACAACAGCAATGAAATTCAGACTTGTTAAATATGTTGTTGTTGAGTTAACTGCAAGCTTCCACCTTTGTTCTGTGTCTCATTTTTGTTGAGTAAATGTTATAAATGCTAATGTGGGGTTTATTTGTGGACCAAATTATATGGGCTACATTTTCAATTAAGGCAGATATGGAGATTTCTTAGATAACTCACTTATACATCCCTGCAGTAATATTTCTTAGAAAACACAAAATCGTGAATAAAATATAATAGAAGAGCGTGTCTCTCTTGAGCCACAATGCCACCTATTTTTATTAATGTTGACACAAATAGCTTTGGTAGTGCATTACAGTGTCGCTTCTTTTGAAATTGGAACACCAGTAGGAAGCAGTCCTGTGCCACACTGTGCAGAGAGCACACACAGCCTGGGTACAAAGCAGGGCAAATTTTGCTAAGGTAGACCCAGGGCTGTGTTAAAGAAAGCAGTGAGCTACAAAATAATGGTCATCTAAAGCTGCTTCTGTATGCACGAGCAGTGTCGTAGCACATGCAGTGTGGAAATGTACCCTCCATTGAGCCATGCAGACTAACAAGTAGAATCGACAACACCCGAGAGATTTATGATGGAGAGGACGGGGAGGGGATGGGTCTACATTGACAGTTTCTGCATGATGGCCGGTCTGATTTGACTGACTGAGACATGTTATCGGCTGGTGTGGTACAGTGGCTCCAAAGCATCACACAGATGGTTGTTCCGTGCTGACACCAGCCACCCCCTGAGATATGTATGCAATCAGTGAGCAGCAATGAGAGTGGGATGTGTATAGTGTGTATGATGCCGAGAGGGAAATCTATATCTTTGATTAATAGAGTGTAGTAATTTTTTGGCTGAAATTTAAAGCCTTTAGGAAAGAGTAAAATGATGTACAAAATGTAACAGCAAATGGAATCGCAACAATAAACAAGGAAATATATAAATATAATATAATCATCAAACAAAACACAAATGAGCTAAATTTCCAAAATAATAACAACTAGAATGCTGATTTTAAAAAATCTGAAAATTAAAACCAGATTCATTTTGGGTTTTTGTTTTGTTTTGTTTTTTCAAAGTATGTGGTTATAACCAAGTTTTTGCTCTCTTTACTTGGGAGGTCAGGACATCTTCATGACTGAAGAACAGAAGAAATACTACAACGCCATGAAGAAACTGGGGTCCAAGAAGCCGCAGAAACCTATACCTCGACCAACAGTGAGACTCGGACTCCTAGGTCTTTCTAATCAACTCCAAGCAGAGTGAAATGACTCATTTGTTTTCATTCCTTGTCTCTCTTTTTTTTCAGAATGCGTTTCAAGGCTGTGTCTTTGACTTCATCACAAAGCAGGCCTTTGACATCGTGATCATGATCCTCATCTGCCTTAACATGGTGACCATGATGGTAGAGACGGATGCCCAGACGAAAGAGATGGACCATATCCTGTACTGGATTAATCTGGTCTTTATTGTGCTCTTCACTGGGGAGTGTGTGCTCAAGATGATTTCACTGCGTCACTATTACTTCACCATTGGCTGGAATATTTTTGACTTTGTGGTGGTGATCCTTTCGATTGTAGGTAAGGAGATGTCCTAAAGTTCTTTTCATTTGATGGTGTTTAAAAAAATATAAAAATTATATCAACACAAAAAAATCCAATGGGGCTTCTTTTTCCTTTGCAGGCATGTTTTTATCTGAAGTTATCGAGAAGTACTTTGTGTCCCCGACACTGTTCCGAGTGATACGATTGGCCAGGATAGGCCGAATCCTCCGCCTTATCAAAGGTGCCAAGGGCATCCGGACGCTTCTCTTTGCCTTGATGATGTCACTCCCTGCCCTGTTCAACATTGGCCTCCTCCTCTTTCTTGTTATGTTTATCTATGCCATTTTTGGCATGTCCAACTTTGCTTATGTCAAGCGGGAGGCAGGAATCGATGACATGTTCAATTTCGAGACCTTTGGGAACAGTATGATCTGTTTGTTTCAGATTACCACCTCAGCTGGGTGGGATGGCCTGCTGGCACCCATACTTAACAAGAGGGACCCTGACTGTGAGAGCCAGCTGGAGCACCCAGGCAACTCCTACAAAGGCAATTGTGGCAATCCATCAGTAGGCATCTTCTTCTTTGTCAGCTACATCATCATCTGCTTTCTCATTGTGGTCAACATGTACATTGCTGTGATCCTGGAAAACTTTAGCGTGGCCACTGAGGAGAGTGCCGAGCCACTGAGCGAGGATGACTTTGAGATGTTCTATGAAGTGTGGGAACGCTTTGATCCTGATGCCACGCAGTTTGTGGCGTACAGCAAACTCTCTGACTTTGCAGATGCTCTAGATCCACCTCTACGCATACCCAAGCCTAACATGATTCAGCTCATCTCCATGGACCTGCCCATGGTGAGTGGTGAGCGCATCCACTGCCTCGATATTCTGTTTGCCTTCACTAAAAGAGTTTTGGGTGAAGGCGGTGAAATGGACATGTTGCGCGGACAGATGGAGGACCGCTTTATGGCCTCCAACCCCTCTAAGGTGTCTTACGAGCCCATCACCACCACGTTGCGCCGCAAACAGGAGGAAATGTCTGCTATAATCATCCAGAGAGCCTTCCGGCGCTACATGATCCGCCTGGCCATGAAGAAGGCCTCAGCCCTCTACAAGGAGCAGTTGAAAGAGGGCATGCATGACCCTGACAAGGATGTGATGGTCATCAGCAAGTTCAATGAGAACTCCACGTCAGAGAAAATGGACATGACCCCCTCCACAGCCTCCCCGCCATCATATAACAGTGTGACAAAGTCAGATAAGGACAAATACGAAAAAGAAAATAGGGAAAGAGAAAATAAAGCAAAAGACTTGAAAGACCGAAAGAAATAGACTTCTTAAAAAGGAACAACAACAAAAAAAGAATGCATCAGAGACATGAGGGAACTTTGTTTAAAGCTTATATATATAGGGGATATATAGATTCACATTTGTGTTGATTGTTCCAACATGAGGAGTCTGTGCCATGTAGGCATGGAATGGGAATGTGGTTATGTCAATATATGGGGAATACGAAAACAAACTGTCCAGCAGACACTGCCAGAGTTTGAGTGGGAAACAGAACAGCCTCTCTGCAAAACGCTTGTGATTCTCCTATTGGTTTTTGTTACTGACACACTTGAGTGTACTGTTAAGTTTTCTGTAGCTAGTGCTGCTGCTACTACTATAAATCCAGTGTCTTGAATTTAACAATCGCTGTATCACTTAACAATTGCTCCACATTCTTCTGTGAATTTTCCTTTCCAGTTTCCAGTTTCGTTTTTTAATGCGAAAGAATGTTTTCTACATTGTTTTGTTTCATTATCGTGAGAATGTGTCCACTGCTTTCACTGTTGTAAAATCACCAAGGGCAGACTAAGTCAATGCTGGAAAATACAACAACCACCTGAAACTCGTACAATGCAGGGTCAATGCCAGAATGCTCTTGGTTCATACGGTATACAAAGCTGAAATAACGAACACGCCACTAAAGTGCAATGAACAAACACATTGCATTTACTGATGTACCATCACTGATTGTTGAAATCTGTATTGTTCCTATTTCAGTAGAAATTACAAGTCTCCAAATACAGAGAAGCTGAATGTATGCAAGAAAAGGAATGAGACGCATTAAAGGAAACTTGTTCCTTGGGAAATACTCTTGATTGCTCTTTTATAGAGAGTTTGATGACAAAATTGCTACCACTCCCATTTCCATCTGTTTAGTATAAAGCTAGAGCCAAGGGATTGTTAGCTGAACTGAGCATGAAGGCCAGACTCGGGCTAAAAGTGTCAAACATCTAGATTTTTTGTTTGAGAATGTATGTATATATAAAATTGAGGTAATTTTAGCATACTAATAAAATAGCAGCAGAAGCCTTACACAAATTCATGTATGGAATTGATAAAGTCTTTGTTAGTAAATTTAACTATAGTCCCATCAAGCCAGAGCACAGTCACTGCAAAAAGGTTCCAGATGATGATGTATACACCATCAGTTATTCTCACTCATGAAGCTATAACTGCTAACTGCTGTGGTTTAAACAAGTGTGCCTGTCTAGTTTGTGCTGATTGGCATTTTTGGGTACAACTGTATTGGAGGTGGTGTGCATTAGTCTTGGATTGGCACTGAAATAATAATTGACACTGGTTGGGAGCACGGAAAACGATTTGTTTTATTTGGTCGTATGTTATTTTAATTCAAAGTTAACATTGTTTTAGGTGTCTTTGGTCCAAGACTAGGGTTTAATGGGCAGTCCAGTTCCTTGTTTACCACTGGAGGTCAAGGAAACATATTGACACAATTATGAATGGTTTCACAGCTGCCAATCCCAAGCCTAATCAAATATGACAATTTAGCACATAAGGCTAATTAGCTTTTTTTTTTACCCCCTGTTTTTTCACGACGAATACTTTAATATAGTTTTTATAATGGTTCATGTTGGATAATGTTAAAGGCTTCTGGAATAATGTCAGAGTCAGGTTAGGATTAAAATATTCTAAATGACAACAGTTGGAACCCTCATGTTCACGATGGGTGTCATCTTAGTTTTATGCAAACCTCTTCATATAAAGTGTTACTGGACATTGTTGACCTCCCTGATTACTGTCTTCATGCTAAGTTAAGCACAGTTCATTAGTTTTTGTTTTTACCTCTCCATAATATTACTTTATTAGTAAATGATAAAGTTAAGTCCTGGTTTTATCCCTTTTCCTCTACACATTCTCTACACCTGTTAGTTCCTATCCCAACCCCATATGTCGTTTCACTAGCTGGGCCCACGTCCTCATTTTAGGTTTGGCAGCGTTTTTAGTAGATAAAGGCGAATGGCTTAATTTTTTTTTTTTCTTATATCTTATACAGATATAAGAGTGGTAATAATCTTCTCACTGGCTCTGGCAGTGAAGCAAATAAGCACATTTTCGCAAAACGCGTCTCTGAGAATAACACTCAAACCTGCTCGTCTCACAGCGCAGTGTCTTTCACATACGTTTGTCGTCCTCCCTTTATCCTCCACCCCACTTCCTCCCAGAACTCCTTACGTAATGAAATATTCTAAAAAGATCTTTCTAACTGCTGTCAAGCTAGAACATTACAATATATCACATTAAAGGTTGGTTATAATATCACAGATGTTTGTATGCCATTCATGTTTAAATTGAGCGTGTGATTTAATGTAGTGGTTTGGTTTGTAAATATTATAGATATTTGGGCTCACAGTATGCATCACACATTTGATGTATAAGATGAAGCACTTTTTATCCCCACTGCTATGTAATACCATGTGTGACGGTCACATTTGTGTGTGCGAGACAAAGGGCGAGTGTGTCTGTATATTTGTATATGTTTATCTATGTAAGAATGGGACTGCGTGAATGTAGGCATCTATCTCTTTATGTGAGCGAGTGTGTCTGTGTGCATTAGGGTCTGCAGGTTGCTTATATGCTATTGATTATAAATAACATTTTCACTGTAGATATGAGTGCATTTTTCCAGTCTTTGACGTTGATTCACATTTTTCTAGAAGAGTTTTTTTTTTCATTCTGCACTGTAACCTTTGACAATATAAAAGATGGACGTAACTGCTGTGACATCAACTCAACAGTTTCCAAAGTTGCGATTTGAAGCTTTGAGATGAACGTTTCCACTGTTGCAGCCTTGGTTGCAAGAAATTGGATGTGATGACAAACGGGTGGGTCTGACTATGACACTGCTTGCTCATTGGCTACTGACTGGTAATTGACAATTCAACTGATGAGGTTTTTTGAAACATGGTATGAGCAAGTTTTACAAATTAATTCATTTTTATTTACCCAAATCGAGCGACTAAGATAATGAACTCAGCAACAAAGTGTTTACAGAGCTCAAGAAAGAGCCCTTCACGGGACAGGAAGTGTTTTTTGCAACCGCAGCTATCGTCATCTGGTGGCCTTCAGATAGAATATAGGTTTTTAGGCACTTCCACATTGGCTTCATTTTTTCTGACCAGGAAGCTATGTCCATCTTTTTTATTGTCTATGACTGTAACACATGATGAAACACATGTATGGTCCCCATATCTGTAGATACAAACCATGAAGCAATCAGTAGCCATCTTTCATTGCGCTTGTAGTGTTTTAGTGAACTGCATGCCAGAAGTGACTACTGTCCGCTCATATGGTAATATAATTTCAAAGCCAAAAGAATAAAGGACATATTTTTTGTAAATGCTTGTTTATTTTCTCCACTTCCTTCCTTGTCTTTTCTTTCAGGGTCTAAAAGTTTGCTCATATGTGTGTGCCATCAGCTCTTTGATCTGTGATCTGAACCTGAAGTATGATTGCATTACAGGTTTAACAGGATCTTTCATGTGATTCAAGTACATGTTACACCTGACTGTATCGATTTGCAAAATGTGACAAGTGACTTTTTTTTTGTTATAACCAAAGATGTGGCAACTAAAAAGTAAACACCTAGATTTTCAAAATAAAACCTGTTTTGGGAAGCATATTTTGCATGCACAACACATTTGGAGGCTAGAATGAAGATGGAAAGAGTTAAGTGGCTCAGCATATTCAATAGGCTTAAATAGAGACGTTGCTGCTGAGGTGACTATCTGTTTTCAGCTTAAGTAATCTGTGTTGAATGTAGACAACTGGGACTCTTGAAAATATTCTCATAGCAGTTCACATTTTAAAGTCTTAGAAAGCACTTATTAAATACAGTATTGTGCAATGGTAGTTTGCCACCACTCATTTCTTTATATTTGGTTAGTAAAACAGCAATTGTTGGAAATAAGTAAGCAAGTTATAATGAGCTTGAAGGGTTATTTAGTTTGACAACCTTTATTCATCAGCACAGGTTGAATTCTCTTAGGCTTCTCTGGGCTCTGGTTCACTTAAGACACGTCTTTCAGATACTATTAGATACTCATGTGTAGTCGATAGTTTGTTTGTTTTTTTTAGGCCTGCCACTTTTTCTTTTGTCCTCCACTTGTCCATTTTCCCCAGTTTTTATCAGCATCACACACCTTCTGATTTATGCCAAATGTTTTGCCAAATAGCTCTTTGAGAATCACCTTGTTGGTGAAAAAAAACTATTTTATGTGTGCAAAACTGTGATATCTCTGGCATTTCTTTTGTAGATTCAACTAAAGAAAGTGGAACAAATTACATGTTTTTCATGACAGGCTGCTATTAAATTTAACAAAGTGCCTAAAATTGGTTTGTCAGTTATACGTAGACAGAATACTGGTTCACACTTTGAACCTATTATTCATAGGTCAGTGTTAAGTGACATAGCAACGAAAAGGGCTTGCTCTAAAGATGGGCAGATACAAGGACTGCACTGAAAATGAGTGAAAAAGCAGCAAATACCCAAAGAAAAACTTTGAGAGATGTTCAGAAAGCCTGGGTTACTGCTAGTTTATAAAAATTATGAAGTTGATCGTATCATTCACTTCTTCTTTAATATCAATAGGCTTCCTTCATCGATGTGTTCTATTCACCTCTTACATACATTTTTTTGGTAGTTACTTTAAACCTTTAGCTAAAAATAACAAATAAATTAATTAGGGTAAAGCTTTTATTTTCTAGTTTTTATGCAGTCTAAATCCCCAAAGCTGTAGCTTTGATTCAGACTTAATCAAGATCCAACGCTTGAAATCTCTGGTGTATGAACAGCCTCTCTTTTGTTGTGAATTGCTTGCATAGTGATTCCCAACCACACAACAGTGTCTTCCCCACATTATGCAGAATCAAGTACTACTGAATACAAGATCCACACAGACGTGTATAAGAAGGAAAATCTTGTGCTGGGACCCACAGGAAGAAGAGGTGAAGAGCTGAGACAACCCCCACCCAGCAACCCCTCCAGTGCTTTGCTGCTCTGTGCTTCTCCCTGCCTGTTGCCTAGCAACCTAACATCACTGCTCCCTTGCCTGTGATTGATCAGCAGTCTCTGGGCTTGCTTACCCACAATACCTTGCTGGCAAATAGACAAGCAGTCACCCCCTCCTTCAACCCTCAGCACACGTTAAATTATATTAGAAATGGGAGAAGTCACATGGTGGCCTTGTTCCAGCTCAGATCCAGTGTATTGTTCTCATCATTGTCGGAGGATCACGAAGGACTGCCAAATGTTTGTTTAGCCTCAACTTAACACAGCACCTGCTGCAGGTGTTGTGTGTGCAGCAAGCCATGAAAATATTTCTATACATGAATAGGCTGGCCAATAATGCAGAACTTCCTCTTTCTCCAGTCTGAGCTCAGCCTCACCCATTGAAGGTGTCAGTGTGTTGCTAGCTCACCACTGCTCTCTAGAGGTCCACTGGAAGAACTGGTGGGGTGTATTAAAGAAAACGAATTGCATGCATGATGACACAGCACTTAGTCAGACTGTTGTCTAAATGGAAAAGCACAGATGTGTGCTGACATCTAAATGTCCAGATTAACTTTACAGATCTTTTTTTCAGCTATCACTGCAGAAGAAATTAGTTCACCTCGTGTTTTTCACGTTGACAAGGAACAAAGGTTCTTGGCTAAACCAATGTCACAGTTTATACTGAGGAAGAAAAGAACACACTGATGACGTAAAAAAAAAGTATTCTAACACCCATGATCATGTCCAGATATATCAGCAGCATGCAAGTGAAATAAATAGATGCCACCTGCTGGCAGCATTATATAATTACACAATTTAAATTTGATTTTATGAACTTTTTGAGTGTACAAAAGACAGAGCACAATTAATAAAGAACTCTTAAACTACAGTGGGTGTTAAAATTGATTTTATTCACACTTTCATGAAAATGTGCATTGTGTAAAAAGGAAGCTACAGAACACGTGGCCCCCAGTTTTTGACAGTATTGATTATTCTCACTGGAAAAAAGCAGAAGTAGTTTCATCACTGATGTTCACAATTATCACTGTAAACTAATAAGTAATGCACAGACAGACCATTCTCTAATCTAAATATATGCTCTTTTAAGAGCTTAACTTAATGGTGAACATTTTGTGATAGTTTTAGGGGTGAGACATGTACAGTATATTAGCAGTGTATAGCAGTGCTTTGAACAAAATACTAAGATCAGCATGGTAACATGTCAGCACTGCTAACATGCTGATGTTTAGCAGTTAGGCTATGTAATGTTTGTTATCTTCATTTGGTTTCTTAGCATGCTAACATTTGCAAAATAGCACAAAATACAAATCAGAGTTGGTGGTAATGAAGATATCGGACCATGTTACATGTCTTCTGATAAGCTGTTTGCTCATTTTCTCTCTGTTGGCATGTCTTTGACTATTTTGTACAGTCAAAACAAATGCCTGCTGTAGCTGTTTGAGTTGTGAGGGTTGACTGTTATAGTAATCTTGAGATCTCTAACGAAAACCACAAAAAAGCTTTGTAAAGTTAAGCTGAACTACAGAATGAATAAATAATTCAAGGTTCAATATAAAAAAAAATTCGTCCTAACTGTGGCAGGGGACCTTCCTGCAATGTAACACACGCCTATAGTTTTGCTTTTTAGGATCTTAGCTCTTAAAATTATGGGCGGACTTACCATAGGCTCCATTGCCTTGTACAGACAAGGCAATGGAGCCTATGGCAAGTCCGCCCATAATTTTAAGAGCATCCACACTCAAGGACAGCTGTACCACCTTAAATATGCCCAGGCACAGCACAGAGCGATCATACTGGCAATCAGGGTAGGAATGGCCTTGTGTTAGTATGCACTACTAGTGGTTGTGTGCATATGCACCTGTAGTCTTGGTAATTTAGAGAACAAAGCTTTCTAATAGATGTTTAAAGCTGCAAAAGCCTGACCAAACAGTAGCTGAAAGTGAACGGTCACGAGATGTAAAACAGTTTCCTGGTCCAAAGTCACATGTGCTTGTGCCTGTGACCATACCCAGCCCTTTGGCAAGCTGCAAACACTCCTACAAGTTGTTCTAGGTATGCTAACATGGGAAGATTAACTTTCATGTCTCTCACTTGACAGATGATAAACTTCTTCGGTAAGCCGATCACATGCGATACAGACAGAATTGAACAATCATTACCATCAACAATAAGATGGTGGCACAACACAAAAAACCCCCAAAACAAAACAAGCACCTCCAAATCTAATTTTGACTTGTCATAGATGCCAGTCACAACCAGAATGACCAACATGCGGTAATGACCAAAGACTGTACAACAAGCCATAAACTGTATGCTATATAGTTACAGGTACAGAAACACTGATTGATTGATTGACTGAGTGATAAAGATGAACTTTTTCCTAAATTTTTATACTCTTTAGTCCAAGTTGACGTTCCTAGAACAGTTTAGAGACAACGTGAACTTAAATTTTACAGTGCTGTGAAAAAAAGAGTATTTGCTCTCTTCCTGATTTCTTTAGTTGCCGCTGGGGTTTTTGTTCTTTGCATTTTTGTCACACTTGCATGTTTCAGTTCATCAAACAAATTTTAATATTAGACAGAGAAAAGCTGAGTAAATTAAATTTCAATTATTTAAATGATGATTTCATTTATTAGGATTAAAAAAAGCTATTCAAGCTTACTTGGTACCATGTGAAAAAATAATTGCGTCCTAAACCTAAAAACTGGTTGTGCCGCCCTCTGCAGCAAGAACTGCACTCACACATTTGCACTAACTGGCAATGAGTCTTTCACATTGCTGTGGAGGAATTCAAACTTGCTTTTCTTTGCAGAATTGTTTGAATTCAGCAACAGTGAATGGTTTTTTGAGCATTTAAGCTCATGCCAAAGCACCTCAATCACTCCTCAGCACCTCGGCGACTCCAAAAACATCATTTGGGGATTTTTATTTAGCCATTCAGAGTTTTTACTGATGTGTTTTGGATCTTTGTCCTGCAGTATAACCCGAGTGAGCCTCAGGCCACAAACGGATGGCCAGATATTTAGGATTTTTGGAGTCGTCAAGGTCCTGAAGCAGCAAGAAGGCCCAAACCATCACTCTACCAGTACCATGTTTGTCAGTTAGTATGATGTTCTTTCTATAACATGCTGTGTTATTTTTATGTAATAGGACTCAAACCTCCAACAATTTCAACTTTGGTCTTGTCAGCCCACAGAGTATTTCACCAAAAATCACCAATCATGTGGTTCACCAAGATGTTTATTGGCAAATTCCAATGTCTCTTTGGTTAGCGATGATTTTCTCTTTGGAACTATCTCACAGATGCTATCTTTGCAATACTGTCTTTCTTATTGTTGACAATAGAGACCTGGATACCTTTTTTCCCTTAATAACTGAAATCATAATTTCTAAACTTTATTGTTTATTTACTGATGTCTGAAAAATGTAAAGAAGACAAATGTTCACAGCACTGTACCATCTATCTGTCTTTTTCTGTGTCAAATACGTGACTCATTCTGTCTTTGAAAGTGCGTTTATCATGAATAAAGCAAACTTCAATTCTTGACCGCATATTTCCACATGTTAACTGATCTCTCTTTTCAGACACT